CCCAGAAAAATTTCAGGTCTGGGAATTCTTCACCGATCTTCGAACACATGGCTTGGCTGGGGTACGGTGTCGCTTTTGTCACTGGGTCACAAATGACCGTAGTCCGACGACCATGAAATTTCATTTAAAACGAAAACATGATACTGGTAAGTCAATTTTATCAGAAAATTTGAACTTGGCGGGAAAAGAGCTTCAAAATGAGTACAGACATGACTAGGGAAAAATTTGGATCAAAAAATTTTTTTTCGAAAAGTCACCTTGTTTATACTCATTTTGAAGCTCTTGATGAGCTGAGTTTGCTTTCATGAATCATTCGAATCCAATTTCAGGACCCGGAGGGTTATGGGCGATTTGTGAGGAGAAGATCAATTCACAAGCACCAGCCAATTATGCGCCTCGGATGAAGAAACAGGTAATTTTTAATTTTCGATTTTTGAATTATCATGAACTCTAAAAGTTTCATGATCTAAAAATCTGAAATTCCTAGATTTCGAGAATCTTTTTTCTGAATTTTTCAAATTTCTGGAATTTTGAGAATCCAATGTTTTTGGAATTTTAGAATTTCGAGAATTCTAGAAACATGTCTCCGGAATTTATAGATTTTCAGCAATTTTGAAATTTTAGGAATATTAGATTTTTCAGTGTTTCCAGAATTGCCAGCGTGAAGAAAAGAAATCGGGGTTTTTGAATATTACGAATTTTCAGCAATTTTTAGATTTTAAGATTTTAAGAATTTCTCGAATTTTCGAATTTCAGGAATTTCTGGGATTTCAAGAATTAGGAAAATTTCGAAATTCCAAAAATTTGGAACTCTCTAAAAATACAAAATTCAAAAGTTCCGCAATTTAGAAAGTGGGAAAGTCAGANAGTCAGAATATCAGAATCTCAGAACCTCAGAATCTCAGAATCTCAGAATTTCAGAATCTCAGAATTTCAGGATCTAAGAATCTCAGAATCTCAGAATCTCAGAATTTCAGAATCTCAGAATTTCAGGATCTAAGAATCTCAGAATTTCAGAATTTCAGAATTTCAGGATCTAAGAATCTCAGAATCTCAGAATCTCAGAATCTCAGAATCTCAGAATTTCAGAATTTCAGGATCTAAGAATCTCAGAATTTCAGAATTTCAGGATCTAAGAATCTCAGAATCTCAGAATCTCAGAATCTCAGAATCTCAGAATCTCAGAATCTCAGAATTTCAGAATCTCAGAATTTCAGGATCTAAGAATCTCAGAATCTCAGAATCTCAGAATTTCAGAATCTCAGAATTTCAGAATCTCAGAATTTCAGAATCTCAGAATCTCAGAATTTCAGAATCTCAGAATTTCAGGATCTAAGAATCTCAGAATTTCAGAATTTCAGAATTTCAGGATCTAAGAATCTCAGAATCTCAGAATCTCAGAATCTCAGAATCTCAGAATCTCAGAATCTCAGAATCTCAGAATTTCAGAATCTCAGAATTTCAGGATCTAAGAATCTCAGAATCTCAGAATCTCAGAATCTCAGAATCTCAGAAATTCGGGAAAGTCTATAATTCCAAAAATTCAAAAGTTCAGGTTTTTCTCAAAATTCCAAACTTTTTTCAAACTTTGAAAATTTGGATTTCTAGATTTCTTTCTAATTTTTTTTCGAAATCAAATACAGAATCTCTTTTCCGCTTATTCCTATATTTCCCGTTTACATTACATTCCATTCAGAAAATTGGAAAAAAAATTCGTCTGTATGAAAACTGGATTTCCCCCCAAAAAAACTTTTTTTGGATAAATTTATACATCTACTTTTCTATAGAAGCTACTTTTCTACAGAGAAAAAAAAGCGTTTTCTTTTAAATTTTCTGCGTCTCTCAATTTTCCACACTCTCTTCCCCCAAATTTTCCGCGCGGCGAAAATGTAAAAATTAATGCGAATTTCCCCAGTCTCTGTGTGATTTCTAGGTCACAAGTTGTCCACTATTCAAACGTGTTTTTAGAAGAAACAGTGTGTAAAATCAAGAGACGCAGACACATTTTTCGTATACAAAAATGATATATCCGTGTGGGTTTTCCAGGGTAAAATTGGATTGGAAAAGTTTGTTTTCTTTTCGGACACACAAATTTGGGAAAACTGGTTTTTTCGCTTTTGAGAACGAAATTTTTGACCCAGATTTTAGGGTAATTTGGGGTGACTTTTTTGATGAGGAAATGAAAAAATTAGGAAGGAAAAAATTGAGGGATGGACATCTGGAAAAACAAATGAACAGACAGAAATACATAGAGGAGAGTACCGGGAAATATGATTGAGATTCTGAAATTCTGAAATTCTGAAATTCTGAAATTCTGAAATTCTGAAATTCTGAAATTCTGAAATTCTGAAATTCTGAGATTCTGAGATTCTGAGATTCTGAGATTGTGAGATTCTGAGATTCTGAGATTCTGAGATTCTGAGATTCTGAGATTCTGAGATTCTGAGATTCTGAAATTCTGAGATTCTGGTGTCCTTAGATTGTGAGGTTCTGGGATCCTTAGATTCTGAGATTCTGAAATTCTGAAATTTTGAAATTTTGAGATGTCATTCTGAGATTCTGAGATTTTGAGAATCTTTCAAAAATCGATATTTTCAGCCAGAAGACATCTTTCTAAAAGCCCTAAGCCAACCATCCCCATTCAATTTCAATCCATTCGCGACGGCGGAAATCAAAATGGGAGCACCTGATGATTTTTTAACAGCACTCATCGAACAAGCCAAACAATACGCCCATTCAAGCACATCACCATCCGCAGGATCAGTTGTAAGTGTTGGTTTTGGCTTGGAGGGAAATTCAAAAATTTTTATTTTTCAAACTTTTTCAGGAAGGAAACGCGTCCAACGAAAATGAGAGTCTAACCAGTGATTCTGTCTTTTTGAGCAAGCTAAACAGCTCTTTTCCTGTGGTAAGTGAGAGAGTGTAGAGAAACTAGAGTGTCTGCTTGTCTGCGTCTCTTATTTGGAGCAGATAACAACGCGTATCTCGAAAACTACATTAGTTAACGTGGTCAATTGCAAAATTGCTCAGCATAAAATTTTACACATTTTGCTAATTGACAACTTTTTTCTAGCTTTTTTAGTTTTAGAGAGTCTTGAAGTTAGGCAATCAAAAGAGAGACGCAGAGAAACTAGAGCACTCTCGTTTCTCTGTGTCTCTCGTGCAGTTTCTATGTTGCATCTCTTAGGATAGTGCTGCTCATATTCAAGAAATCAATCTAAAAATTTGTGAATTAGTGATTTTCAAGTTCAGAATGCAAAATTTTAAAATTTCTGAAGAAAAATTAATTTTCAAATTTTCAAAATTTTCGCAAAAATAATTTGAAAAAAAAAACATTTTTTCTGGGATTTGATTTTAGTTTTAAAAAAAATTCTATAAAACTTTGAACTTATTTCAAACAAAACACATTCAACAATTAAAAAATAGGTCTTCTTTACGAGAGACGCAGAGAAACGAGGTTGTCTCGCTTCTCTGAATCTTTCTTTCGCCCTCCTAACTTCTATAGCTCGTTTCTCAGAAGCCTTTATAGCTAACGAGAAGTTGTCAACCACAAAAATGTGTAAAATTTTATGCTAAGTAATTTTGTAGTTGACCGCAAGTTACTAGCTCCAACCTTTCTTGGGATATGAGCGTTTTTCTAATTGAAGCAGGCTGTAGGCGTCTCTGCTCGCTCCATCTCCTTTTCCGTCAGAAAAACGGTCATATCACAAAAACGGTTGAAGCTAGAAGATTTTGGCTAATTACAAAATTGCTGAGCATACAATTTTTCACATTTTTGTAGTTGTTTACTTTTTTCTAGCTTTAAAGCTTCTCGAGATACTACGGTTATTCGTGAGAGAGCACGGAAGCCGGGGTGCCTTCATGTCTGCGTCTCTTCCATAGCTTGTATCTCAAGAACCGTTATAGCTACAAAAATGTTTACAATTACAAAAATGTGTAAAATATTATGATGCGCAATTTTGTAGTTGACTTCTTTTTGATAGCATTTTTTGTTCTTGAGATATGCCTGTTTTTCTAAACATTCACAATTTTGAAGCTCGTCTGAAGTTCAAACGCGCTTATCTCGAGACTCGTTATAGCTATGAAAAATCTGTGAACTGTTAAAATGTGTGGAATTTGCTCATTTTTTTTCCTTTTAGAAAGAAGAAGATTCGTCTTCGTCGTCGGTCAGTGGAAGCACTTCAACATCCACGTCTTCATCAGATTTCCATTTAAGTGATGGGTCAAGTATCGCGGCACTCTTGCAAATCGCAACAGATTCCGATTTGATTTTTACGTTTAATGCGAGAAAATCTGGAGAGTACTGTTTCGAGAATAATGCCAAAAATGTGAGTTTGGATGTTCCAGAAGTTATAGGAAATTCAGAAATTCAAAACTTTGGAAATTCGGAAATTCGAGAATTCGGAGACTCATAAATTTCGAAATTCCTGAAAGTTCTGAAATTTCAAAAAATTTAGAGACCTCAAAAAGTTCAGAAGTTCCAAAATTTCATTCATTCTGAAAATAAAAAAGGGAAATTGAGAAGTTCAGAAATTCAGAAATTCGGAAATTCTGAAACTCTAAATTTCTGAAATTCTGAACTTCCGGTATAAAAATTTTCAGAATGAACGAAATTTTAAACCCAAAATTCCAAAAAATTCTGAACTTCTAAAAAATTCTGAAAATCCAAAAACTCTAAAATTCGAAAAAATCTGAATATTGAAATTCCATCTGAAATTCCAAAAAATCGAAATTTCGAAAAAGTCGGAAATTTCGACAGTTTCCGAGAATCCAGATTCAGGAATTTAAAAAATCTGAAATTCCAAAACATTGAAAAAAAGTATTTTGGATTATCTGAGATTTCTGAAATTCGGAAAATCTAAAAAATTCTAAAATTCTGACATTCTTTTAAAAAATCAAAAACTTCGAAATATTAAAAATTCAGAAATTCAGAATATCCACAGTTTAAAAAATTCTGAAATTAGAAGTTCAGAAATTCAGAAACTTTGAAATTTTGAAAACTCAAAAAACTTTGATAGTTACGAAAAATTCTTATAATCCTGAAAGCTCTAAAGATTCTGAAATTCCAAAGGTCAGATGTTCCATAAATTCAAAAATTCTGAAGGTCCGAAATTTAGAAAAACATTAGAAATTCAAATAAATCTGAGATCCCAAAAAAATCTGAAAATCCGTAATTACTGGAAATTTCTAAGATCCCAAGATTTCATACACTCCAAAAATTCGGGATTTCCAGCAATTTAAAGAAACTCGAATATTCCAAAAGTTCAGGAATTCGTAAATTCCAAAAAATCGAAAACTCGAAAAATTCGAAACTTTCGAATATCCAATAAACTCAATAAACTCGGAAAATCAAAAATTTCGAAATTTCGAAATTTGAATTTCAAAATTCTTAAATTCCCAAAGTTTAAAATTCCAAATTTTCAGCATAAAATGATCACTCTGACCGATTGCGGCAACGAAATCCGAGTGAGCCAACTCGAAAACGACGAGGAGATTCGTGTGGAAAATTGGCGGAAAAGCGATTGGCAACAGTTCACATGGGCGGTCCGCGGGACTTGTCTTCACTTTTTGAAAGGTTGCTCAGAATTGTCGATTTTCAAAAATACTCTGGTTCCTTTGGAACTAAAAATGGAAGAAGTGGAGGCTGAAGTGGAGTAGAATCAATATTTATTTTTTTTATTTTTATAAATTTTCAAAAATTTTTTAATTATCGCTGATTTGTCATTCATTTCCCCCAATTGATTTCGACCCAATTTGGTGTCTTTCATTTTTCAAATTTTTCAATTCTAAATATTTTTCCCAGTACTACCTATTGGCATACGGGTCATCATCTTCTGTATTTTTGAAATTTTCTCTGAAATTTTTAAATTCCCGCCGCTCTCGAACTCCTTCTGTACCCCACCCCGTGTGCCCCTTTTCCCTTATTTTTCTGCTATCCTGATTTTCTTCTCTTAAATTAATTTTTTTTTCTGCCACATAGTTTCAGCCACATAACAAAAAAGATAGCTCTATTTCTAATTTGAACCCACATTTGTTCTGAAGAGTGGAAATGAAGTACGTGGAAATTCAAACGTTGCCAGGTGAGAAGGCAGTGCAGGGAAGCTAGAGGGTCTGACTAGAAAACGGCGCGTATCTGAAAAACTGCGCAAGTTAGAAAAATGTGTTCAACTATGAAATTGCTCAGCATAAAACTTTACACATTTTGTTAGTTGACAACTTTTTTTCTAGCTTTTTTAGTTTTTGAGATACAGAGCCTTGAAGTTAGGCAATCAAAAGAGAGACGCAGAGAAACTAGAGCACTCTCGTTTCTCTGGGTCTCTCGTGCAGTGCTCAAAGGCGCTTATCTCAAAAACTACAGAAGCTATCAAAAAAGTGTTAACTGCAAAAAAAAAACTTTATTTTTAGCAATTTCGCAGTAGACCAAAAAATGCTAGCTTTAACGATTTTTGAGTAATGATCGTTTTTGAAATTTCCAAGAAATTCAGAAAGTTAGGAAATTCTGAAATTCTGAAAGACCGAAAGTTTAAATTTTCGAGGTTTATGAAAATCTGAAATTCTGAAAAATTCTGATATTCTGAGATTCTGAGATTCTCAGATTCTGAGATTCTCAGATTCTGAGATTCTGAGATTCTGAGATTCTGAGATTCTGAGATTTGGAGATTCTGAGATTCTGAGATTCTGAGATTCTGAAATTTCGAGATTCTGAGATTCTGAGATTCTGAAATTCTGAGATTCTTAAGTTCTGAGATGCTGAGATTTTGAGATTCTGAGATTCTGAAATTCTGAGATTCTTAAGTTCTGAGATTCTGAGATTTTGAGATTCTGAGATTCTCAGATTCTGAGATTCTGAGATTCTGAGATTCTGAGATTCTGAGATTCTGAGATTCTGAGATTTGGAGATTCTGAGATTCTGAGATTCTGAGATTCTGAAATTTCGAGATTCTGAGATTCTGAGATTCTTAAGTTCTGAGATGCTGAGATTCTAAAATTCTAAAGTTTTGAGATCCTGAGATTCTGAAATTCTAAGTTTTGTTTCTGAAATTCTAAGTTTAGTTTTTTTTCAGAATTTTGAAAAAATTCCCTCGATTTGAAAAACTTTTAACTTTCTAGAATTTCTAAAAATTCGAAGTTTCTGGAATTTTTTTACACTCAAATTCTCGAAATTTCCATGTATTTTCGAATTTTCTGGAATTAGGCAAATTTTAAATTTCGATCTTCCCTCAAATAAAAAGTGGGCGGAGCTTAATTTCGGGTTCTAAGATTTAGGATTTCTGCTTTACGGATCAAACTTGTCTAAATTAATTCTTTTTTCCAGGCCAGTGAGATTCTGAGATTCTGAGATTCTATTCTGAAAATCAGAAATTCTGAGATTCTAAGACTCTGAGATTATGAGATTCTGAGATTCTGAGATTCTGAGATTCTGAGATTCTGAGATTCTGAAATTCTGAGATTCTGAGATTCTGAGATTCTGAGATTCTGAGATTCTGAAATTCTGAAATTTTGAAATTTTGAGATGTCATTCTGAGATTTTGAGATTCTGAGATTCTGAGATTCTGAGATTCTGAGATTCTGAGATTCCGATTTTCTGAGATTCTGAGATTCCGAGATTCTGAAATTCTGAGATTCAAAAATTCAGAAAAGTCAAGTTTCACAAAAAATCAGAAATTCGAAAATCAAAAATTCGAATTTGGAAAAAATTATAAAAAATTCAAATTCTCCATTTCACAAATTTTTGGATTTTCTGATTTTTTAATTTTTTAAACTTTTTTCCAGGCACGTCTCCCCATCCCCGTCGAAAGAAGAGACGTCGGTGTCCATATCGAAAAAACGATAAAGGAAAAATCAGATGGCGTCATAAGCTTCGAAAGTGGAAACGGAGAAAGAAGAGATTGCGAAAACGAGCGAAGAATTCGAAATCGAAAAGTTCGAAATCCTCCACAATGACTCCAGAACAAAAGGAGAGAAAAGCCAGAAGAAAGAAAATCAAGAAACGAAAGAAGCTTCGAAGGAAAAAGGTTCAGAGGAGAAAACATCGAATTCGACGACATTTATATGATTCGAACCGCAAGAAGATGCCAGAGAAATCGAAGAAATTGAAGAAGGATATTATTATTATTATTATTGCAAGACTTCGTGCCTTAAGACGCGTCAAACGAGTCCGAATCCTCCATAAATACCAACGAGATCGTGCATTGATCTGTTCAGCAAAACGAAAAGCTATTCAGAATCTCAACATGTGCTGGAAACGGGCTAGACATCGTCGCAAGAAGTATCAAAGATACCGTAGACAACTGGAGAATTTTGCAAATCGAAAACGAATCACTCAATGGAGGAATTGTCAAATTCCAAAGGAGAAAAAAGCGGTTCAAGTGCATTTTGATCTACCCAAAGCATCGACTCAGCGGAGAAAAGAGACAAAACGTGTCGAGTATGAGAGACAGTATCCGATTAAAGTAGCTATCAATGCTGTCGAAATGAAAAGTGAACAAGTTCATGTGGCGAATAAAGGAAAAGTTGCATTGGGCAGTTTGCAGTGAGTTTGACTGGATTTGTTCAATTTGAAAATATTTGAAATTGAATTTCGAAAATTTTTGTATTGATCGTTTTTGGATAGCGTTTACATTTTTTGAGATATGCGCCTTTAATTGTTGAGCGTCAAAAAAAAAAGAAGCGAAGGCGAACTGCGACTACCGTCAGTTTCAAGCTCATTTATCTCGACTCCTATGCAAGATATCAAAAAAGTTTTAACTGATAAAATGTTTATCATAATATCAAAACTATTTTATCATTTGAAAAATGTTCAATATCTCTTGTGGGAACCGAGATAATTGAGAACAAAGTTGACGGTTTGGGTGGGGTTCAATTATTTTAAAAAAATACAGTATGTGCATTTGAGCTCAATTATCTTGGTTCCTATGAAAGATATCAGACATTTGTCAACTGCTGAATTATTTATCGTAATATTTCCAATATTTAATTAGTTGACAAATTTTTGATATCTATTATAGGAACCGAGATAATGGAGCTCAAAGTACATGTCTCGTTTTTAGGAGAGGGGTTCCTTATAGGAACAGGGTTATCACAAAACCTGAACTGTGTAGCTTGATTTTTTTACTATGAAAATGTGTAAAATTTCATTTCACAAATTTTTGTAATTGATCATTTTTTGATAACGTTATCACTTTTTGAGATATGCGCCTTCAAAAGTTGGGCGTCAAAAAAAAGGAAGTGAAGGCGAACTGCGACTACCCAAATAGCAGGGCTCCCAGTTTTGAGCTCAATTATCTCGGTTCCTATTAGAGCTATCCAAATATTGTAAATTGATAAAATATTGGTGATATTATGATAAATATTTTATTAGTTGACTACTTTTTGATATTTCTGACAGGGACCGAAAAAAAAATGGCTCAAAGTCAAAAGAAGCTAAAAGGTCCTCCTAGACTTCACCGTACTTTGTTCATAAAACTAGCCATATCTGAAAAACTGTGCTATTTATCAAAAAATTGTCAATTACAAAAATATTCAGCATAACATTATGCAAATTTTACCAATTGATCATTTTTTTGACAGCTTGAACCTCTTTTGAGATAAGCGCCTTTCAAATTGGGCGTAGGTTAGGGCCCCTAGCCTAGGAGAGACGCAGACTACAAAGCCATCTAGTTTCTCTGCACCCTCTTCGCTTCCTCCACTATTTCAGGCTCCGTGTTCAAGAGAGCATTGTTGGTGATTTTGGACGTGTTCGTGCAAGAATTCAATACATTGGACATGGGGACCAAGGTTTCTGTGATGTTCGTTGGCAGTCTCAACTACACGACAAGGGGAACGGATCAGTGAGATTGTAGAAAAACGGGAATATCTCAAGAGCCAAATTAGCTAGCAAAAATTTGTTAATTGCAAAATTGCTCCGCATAAAATTTTATACATTTTTGTAGTTGGTAATTTTTTGATAGCTTTTACGGTTCTTGAGATATAATCCCTAAAAGTTTAGGAACTCCGTTGAATGGAGCCAAGACATTGTTTTGGGAAAACAGTCGTATCTCAAAAACAAAGACAGCTAGCAAAAAATTTTTAACAACAAAATTACTCAACATAAAATTTTACACACTTTACCAGTTGACAAACTTTTGATAGCTTTTACGGTTTTTGAGATATTCCTATTTGTTTCAGAACGAAGCCCAAATCCTGGCCAAACTTGCACATTTGGGATCTCAAAATGCCGTGCGAGTGTTGTTCTTTGGCCAGTTTATGACTCTGCAATGCACAATGACGAGTCTAGTAAGTTAAAAATCTATATAATCTAAAAATTCCCTGCTTTTCCAGCTCTATATGTCACTACAGCTCTGTTTGGACAATGAGAAGTTGGACATGCAAAGTTGCGTTCGCATTATTCAGCAAAGTTTTTATTGTGTCAAGGATTTGCATAAGGTAAAATTGCTCAGCATAAAATTTTAGAAAGTTTTGTAGTTTAAAGGTTTTTGATAGCTTGAACGGTTCTCGAGATATGCCGGTAGTTCGGGAGGGCACAGTGACTGCGTCTTTTCCAAAGCTCGTATCTCGAGAACCGTCATAGCTACCAAAAACTTGTCAATTATGAAAATATGTAAAATTTAATGCTGAGCAATTTTGTAGTAAAACACTTTTTTCCATCTCTTACGCTTCTCTTGCTATCTTCAGATTGGCTACGCAAACTTGGGCATCTGTCCAGCAAGCTTCTCGTTCTTGAAATCCAACCCGTCTTTGATTGTTTTCAACAATTTTCAATTCGCTCGAACTTTTGAGAGTCTTCGTAAGCAACCAGAGGATTCAGAAGACCTTCGGAAGCACAGCAGGAAGACGTCACGGGTGCGACGTCTTCCGAAGAATCTTGTACTTCCTTACATGTCGAGACGGCAGCATTTTCGTATGGTCAAGGGTGCTCCGGATGATTATGAGTCGTGGTTTTATTTCTGTGCAAGAGTTTTGAATGAGGGGGTAATGGTTGTGGGGAGAAGAGGGAGTGCGGGGAAAGAGGAGGGCGCAGAGAAGCGAGAGTGTCTCGTTTCTCTGCGTCTCGCTTTTGCACACCGAACTTTAAAAGCCTGTATCTCAAAAACCGTTATAGCTATAAAAAAGTTGTCAACTACAAAAATAATTTTCATAAAACACATTTTTATAGTTTATAACTTTTTTCTAGCTATTACAATTCTTGAGATATAAGCGTTAGAAGTTCGGAGTACAAAAGAGACGCAAAGAAACGAGTGTATCTAGTTTTTTTTAGAAACCTCTGGAATGGGAGAAAAAAGACGTGCTAAAAGAGATGGACCACATGAAAATGTCGCTTGCAAAATATGAATTCGTCAAGAAATACAAACATTCCGACCCATTGGCAGATAAGAAGGTTTTGTGCATTAGAGCGAATTTTCATCAAATTCAAATTTTGCAGATGAAACAGATTCTGGCTTACTGCCTCTCGGCCAACGAGACGAATGCCAAGAAATTGGGATATTTCGTTGAAAGAGTGATTCAACATTGGGTGGATAAACTGGCGAATAATGAAAAACGAGAAGAGCCGTGGTCATGGATTGACGAAAAAGAGTCGAAGAAACTTGAAAAAGAAAAGAAGTCGTGGGAGAATAAGTTGAAAGCAGAGTTTCCGGAGAAATCGAGAAAGTGTAACTATTAGAGATCTTACTTGTACTGATGATAAGGAATAAATGATTATAGATTTTATTCATTTTTTGAATTTTTTTAGATTATTGGGTTTATTGTCGACCTGACGGCCTAATTTTTGACAAAATAATTTTCTGGTCGACCTAGCGGATGGCCTAGAAAGGACAAAGCATGGCCTAGAATAACAAATTCCAGCCAAGCAACCAAAAATTATGAACCTAACTTTCTAAAAAAAAACCAAAACTTCTAAAATTTCTGGAAATTCAAAAACTCTGAAAAGTCTCAAATTGCTGCTCTCGTCCTTCCCCTCTCAGAATCTCAGAATCTCAGAATCTCAGAATCTCAGAATCTCAGAATCTCAGAATCTCAAAATCTCAGAATCTCAGAATCTCAGAATCTCAGAATCTCAGAATCTCAGAACTTCAGAATCTCAGAATCTCACAATTTCAGAATCTCAGAACCTCAGAATCTCAGAATTTCAGAATCTCAGAATCTCAGAATCTCAGAATTTCAGAATCTCAGAATCTCACAATTTCAGAATCTCAGAATCTCAGAATCTCAGAATCTCAGGATCTCAGAATCTCCGAATCTCAGAATCTCCAAATCTCAGAATCTCAGAATCTCAGAATCTCAGAATCTCAGAATTTCAGATTTTCAGAGTTTCGGAGTTTCAGGATTTTGGAATTAATTATGTATTTTCTCAAAAACCACTTCATGAAATAATTTATTATTAATTAAGAACAAATATATATACAGAAAAAATAGAGCTAGGACTAAAGCTCCATTTTTCAAGCTACATAACTTCTAAAAGTTCTTATCCGTTTTTCAAAAAATTGTTCAAAAATCCCTGAGCCACTTCTCCACTAATCAAATTGTTCAACTGTCCCAAAACGGCCGCCGGCGATTGATCCATCATTCCAGACACCTCCTCACACCTCTTCATCGCTCTCTGTAGCTGTGTTCCAATCTCCAAACTAGCAATGACGTCACACGTGGCAACGGCTTCCCGAAGAGCATCACACTGCTGACGTTCGGCTCCACGACGGCACGTCTCCTGAGAAGCCTTCAGAAGATCGATTTCTCCAGTCATAATTGCTCTTCGAAGTTCTTCTCCCCAGGCATCGAACGTCTTCTCATCGGCGACATCTTGACACTTTCCATAAGCGATTTGCATGAACTCTGAGATGAATGGGAGGCATCCTTTGCCACGTGGCAAGCCGAAGTTACTGTCTGCGTTTGGGACCAAATCTTGGATGCCGATTTGAGGAAGAGGTTCCGGTTTTCCGCCGGTTGATTGGGGAGAGGTACCGGTTCCAACTTGAAGGAAGCGACGAGCGATTTGCATGAATGGGGAGCCGTCGAAAGAGTTTGTCTGGAATTTTCAGATTTTTCAAAATGATTCTCTAGATATTCAAAAATTTTCGTTTAACTTTTTTTTGAATTTTTTTGTGTTTTCAAATTTTTCAACTTTTGAATTTTCAAGATTTTTTGAATTTTTTAAGTCTTTCCCAACAATTATAGATTTTCAAATCTCAGAATTTTTAATGATTATTGGACTTTTCTAACTTTTTTCTGAAAAACAGATCTAATAGCAAGTGAGACGCAGAGAAACGACTGTGTCTCGCTTCTCTGCGTCTCTTTCTTGCAAGCCTAACTTCTAAAGCTCATATCTCAAGAACCATGCAAGCTATTAAAAAGTTTCCGACTACGAAAATGTGTGAAATTTTATGCTGAGCAATTTATTAGCTGACAAATTTTGCTAGCTATTTCGGTTTCTGAGTTATGACCAATTTTCTAAAATATCGCGCCCTCAGCTTTTTGAGACCTTTCAGAAGCCAAGCCTCGTTTCTCACAAATCGTTATAGCTATGGAAAAGTTGTCAATTACAAACATGTGTGAAACTTTATGCTGAGCAATTTTGTAATTAACAAATTTTTTATAGGTTTCATGGTTCTCGAGATATAACGGTATTTCGGAAGGATGTACTGAAACAGGGATGGCGCTAGCTGCGTGTCAGAGTGGCTTTCAAGTTTTTCGAGCTCTAACAACACAGGAAACAATTTTCTCACCGGTGCTGGTGGTCTTGCCAATGTCGGTGCCGCCGCTGCCGCAGATGCCGATGACGCCGATGCTGGGGCCGCCACTTCCACCGGAGCAGCCGCTTGCACTTCAGCGACACTCGTCTCCACTGCATCTCCAATCGGTTCAGCGTATCGAATCTCTCGAATTTTCTCCCCCATTGCCACGTTCTTTTTGAATTCTCGAACTCCTAAAACATCTCGACCACCTTCGTCTCTGGGAGAAGGATCTTGAGAATTGGAAACTCCAAGAATCGGTGGAAGGGACACTGGAGCTGGTGTGGCTGTTGGGGGAGCTGGAGTACCGAAAGTCATTGGTGGTAGAGTTGGAAACGTTGGTTGAGGTGGTGGGGGTGTTTGATTGCCCATCTTGTCCAAAGCGTCTAAGAAGGCGTTGCGACCTTGGAATGCCAGATTTTGAATCGCTGAAATTAGCGGTTAAATTTCACAAATGATGTATATGATCTTTGAGCTCAATTTTCTCAGTTTCTATGAGAGATATCAAAAATCTGTCAACTGATAAAATGTCTATCACAATATTACCAATATTTTACCAATTGAAATTATTTTGATATTTCTGATAGGAACCGAGATAATTAAGCTCAAAGTCAACGTTTAGGGTGGTCTATACGTTCAATGTTCTGATATAGTGCCACTGAGCTCAACTATCTCGGTTCCTGTGAGAGATATCAAAATCTTGCCAACTAATAAAATGTTTATCATAATATCATCCATATTTTATTAGTTGACAAAATTTTGGTATCTCTTCCAGAAATTGAGATATTTGTGCTCAAAGCAAGGCTGCCGGAATTAGGGTTGCGGTAGGCCGGGTAGGTTGCCGGGTGCCAAACCAACCCCGCGGCCTAGCGGCCAATCTCCAAAGTACCCAAATCAAAAAGCAGCGGACATCCGGACACACAGACCTATCTAAACTAGTTACGCAAAAATCGGAAAATCTTCTCACCTCCACCAATCATCTGTGACGGCCTTTGTTCGGGTGTCGGTGGCTTTGGAGCGGCTATCGTCCTCCTTCAAGTTTCTCGGGATTAGCGACGATTTGTACTTTTTTATTTTCAACTGGTTTAATTCTGGCTATAAGGAATGAACGTCTAACATGATTCTCAAATTTCCAATGGAAAAAAAGTTAATTGGCTAGACAGGAATAAAACATAAATAGCTCTAATGCACTTTGAGATCAATTATCTCGGTTCCTGTAAAAGATATCAAAAACTTGTCAACTGATAAAATATAGACAGTCTTATGGTAAGTATTTTATTAGTTGAAAAAATTCTGATGTCTCTTATAAGAACCGAGATATAAGGGTTCAAAGTTAGATGTCCCCTTCTATTACAGGTGTTAAGATAGACAGTTCAGAAATGTACACAGTGATTACACAGTGGTACACAGTGATTTAGGGTGCAAAATCTACAATTCAGGAGTACGAAAATCGAATTTTTCACTTTCTCAGAAATACCGTACCTCCTGAAATAAGTTTTTCGTGCCCCAACGACTTCAAAATTGTTGCAATTCTTGAATTACTTGAAAAATATTACTGTAAAGGCTCTAACTGAACGCAAATGGTCCTAATTAACTTTGAACTTATTAATCTAGGTTTTTATGATAGATATCAAAAAGAAATCAACTGATAAAATACTGGTGATACTATGATAAACGTTTTATTAGTTCATAGATTTTTGATACCTTTTATAGGAAACGAGATAATTGAGCTCAGAGTTCACGTGCAGATCAAATACGGTAAATGCTATTTATGAACTTCAAGCTCCATTATCTCGATTTCTGTGAAAGATATCAAAAATCTGTAAACTGCAAAATTGTTGATAATTTTACGACAAACATTTTATCAGTGAACAAATGTTTGGTATCTTTTACAGGAACCGAGATAATCGAGCTCAAAATGCAGTTATAGGTGATCTTCTAGAGAATTTACGGTAACGCTTTTTAAGCTAGTTTATCTCGGTTCTTTTGAAAGATATTTAAATTTTGTCAACTAAAAAAATGTTTGTCATGTTATGATAATCATTTTATCAATTGACAATTTTTTGGTATCTTTTATAGGAACCGAGTCCCCTCCAAAGGTAATGAGGGCCAAGTGAACCTTTAAAGTAAAATCTAGGTATGTTTAAGCCAATTTTTTTGGACTTAGATGTCTTTAGACTACCTTTAAGATGACATGGACTTGTCAACAACCTACAGGAACCCAACAAAAACCAGAACTCACTGCACGTCTCTCTCATTATCCTTCATATTATTACTTGCCATTGACGATAGCTCTGTGGCCAGTTCAGCCATACTTCTCATGTTTTCAGGACGTAACAAGGATAGCAAAGGCTGGATGTCCATATTCTATAAACTGAAATTATCCAGGACATCCGGACAAACCGATCTGGATATTGCTTACCTGACATTGGACAATAGACAGGAGGGGGATAAAAAGTAAAAGTATCATGTTGGGGTGAAAATGTGAAAATCGAAAATGATTGAAAGGTGAAAAGCGCGCCAAAAAAGGGACGGATGTGTATTCTGTGGTTGGTTATGGTTGGGGTGACATACAGGCAATCTGGGCAACGAAGCATGTCTACCACTCTTCGACGTCTACACTCTCTCGGCGTCGGATTCAAGTTTAGGTCTGAATAGAGAGTATGGAGATTAGGAGAGAGTGGGCTAGAGAAAGAGACAGAAGAAGCTTCAAACTACTGGTGATGTGAGAAAATGAGTCATTATTGTTGGAGGCTATCTACAACGTTCTTTTATCCCTGTGAGAGATAAGAAAGCGTTTCTGATGTAATCAGTAATTAGGTGGGATTATTAGAAGTTGGCAAATTGGAACCGGTTGATTGGGATACAAAGAACATTGAACTTAATTATCTCAAGTTCTGTAAAAGATATCAAAAAACAATGACCTAATAAAATGTTGAGAATATTATGAGAAACATTTTATCAGTGCTCAAAATTTTTGATATCCCTTACAGGAACCGAGATAATTGAGCTCAAAGTTCAAGTATAGAAATGGCGTTCGCCAAGATGGCGTTCGAAAAGATTACCGATTTGGGGGAAAAAAATTATGTTTGAAATTTGAGGAAAACAGCTATGAAAGAAATTGGGATTTCAAAAAAAAAGAATGCAATAATTTCTAACAGCCAGTGTTCCCGCGTTCCCCGTTCTCGATCCAATTCTTTGTTAAATTGTAATCCAAGTTATTCTACTCTTCACGTGTCAGAGGTTTCATACCCTTCGGTCAATCTTTCTTATACAGGGTGGTTTTTAATTACTGCAACGGTATTCAAGTCTTCATAACTTTCCCAAAACTCGATGAAAACTTCCAAAATTTTGGATTAAATTATTTCAGACGCACAAATTGTATAATAATGCAAAAGTCATTGATTCCACTTCTTTTCATTCCGACGACAGCCGTCAGAGGCTTAGGACAGGAGCCTACAGCGGCACGGTGACACGAGGGCATTACTTCCGGATGATAATTTTTTAATCGAAGGCAACAAGATCAACCGAAATCACGTTATACTATTTAAGGCGACTACATATGTTTGTCAGTGAAGAAAACTCCCATATAAAGCTTCGCATTCCGATTCGGTCAGGATCTTTGATGGAAACACGGAAAATTGCGAAAAATCCGTTGTTTTCCCCGATTTCCGAACCAAATTCAACTATGAAACCAATCTAAGTAATCAGGATGTTTCTTAACTTGAATTCTACTTGAAAAGTTCATATACGGTGTTCCAACGAGATTGTGCCACGTTTTACTGTACCAAACACACCCAAGGGAGGCTCAAACTCAATTTTCCGGAGTTGAACTAGGCACAAGACAGGATCCCTTTCTCCTGAGACCTGAATCCAATAAATTATTCAATCTGAGGATGTTGGACCTAGATAGTTTACTCATGAAATTAACAAGCTTTCATCTATCTGGAGATCAGCCTTCAGAAGATATGGGTACTAATAGGTCAAAACTACCACCGTGCCGCCATAGGCTCTTTTCCGAAGCCTCTGACGGCTGTCGTCGGAATGAAGTGGAATCAATTGCATTATTATAAATTTTGTGCGTCTGAAATTACTTGATCCAAAATTTTGGAAGTTTTCATCGAGTTTTGGGAAAGTTATGAAGGCTTGAATACCGTTGCAGTAATTAAAAGCCACCCTGTATATAAAACGCTAGAGATGTCTGTTGGTCCCCGAGTCACTCTGCCCGCTTTTGAAAAATTTGAAAATCAAATATAGATATGACTTGACCCTTTAAGAACACGTGAGAAGCGAAGCGGCGAACCAGTGAAAAAACTAATAGTAACACAGGTAAAATGCGAACGGATCAGTTACGGACGCTCAGCGTTCGCGCGCGGTTGAAATAGAAACCGCATACGGACCGCACGCGACCCGTTTTCAGAAAACCACAGCACATTATTTCGTATTTCTCCGTATTCTATCCGTTTGCGAACTCGGTATCCGATCCGATTGCGAATGATAAACAAACGGATCCGTTTGCGAACTTAAACTTTTGTCTGATTCGCGAACGGATCCGTTTGTCCATCATGCGCAGTCGGATCGGATACGGAGTTCGCGAACGGACAGAATACGGAGGAATACGGAATAATGTGCTGTGGTTTTCTGAAAACGGGTCGCGTGCGTTCCGTAAACGGTTCCTATTTCAACCGCGCGCGAACGCTGAGCGCCCGTAACGGATTGTTCGCGAATCACCTGTGAAGTTAAATCGCAGCAAAGGCGCACCAGCTAGCTGATTGAAGTGCCGCAAGCGCGGCAAGCAAATGGCTGGTGAACAAATAAATAAACAAATGTTTCGGAGCCAAACAAGTCTTTCTATTACTGCAAAGTACATCCCTATAGTCCTTCTATTAGAAGGGCTCAAGTACAGTGCGGTCAATATCTTTGAGACCCCCTTGATTTTGGGCGCACAGAAAAAACTAGAAGGAGTATCAAAAAACTGTAAACGCCATTCGATTCACAATCAAAAATAACCTCTAGCGAAAGAATTTCATGAATTTAGCACTTTCCCTGTCCGTGTACCATCCAAAAAACCAATATGCAAGTGGTCAATATCTTTAAGACCATGCTATTTTTGAAAGAATTTTTGATTTTTTGGAAAAGTACAGCGTTCTACTTGTTGAAATTCTATGAAATTTTATATTATTAGAAAGCTCTCATCCCCTTTTTTGTAATTAACTTACTTTACTAATTATAACTGGCCGAACTGTCTTTCGTAAAATTCAATGAAGAAGGACGCTGTATTTTTCCATAAAACTAGAAATGCTCTCAAAAATAGCAAAAATCATGAGATGAATTTTCAGAACCCAATTTCTGATCAGAAATCTTTCAGAAACCGTTCTTATTTGATTCAAAACTATCTAAAAACATTTTTTAGACTGATATTCGATACTTTTAAAGAATTTTCTCATGAAAATTATCACTGGAATATCGAAAAAATCCGGGGGTCTTAAAGATATTGACCGCACTGTATTGAAACAGTCCTTATAATACAAAAACGATTTTTGATAAACATATCCTGCTGTTTGGTTCCAAAAACTAGAGAACGTGATTTAGTGTATCTTTGTACTTTTTCAGTTTGACTGTATAAAAGTTTTTTTAGTTTGATTGTATACAAGTTTTTCAAAAGATTATCTATTGTATTATCAGCAGTGATTCAATGGCACAGTGGAAAGAATTGGGTTTATGGAGCGGGTAGTCTCTGGTTCAATCCCTCTATGGTGACAAGATTTTTTTCGTGAAAATTTTTTAAATAAATTTTAGAACTATGCTGAAAACGGTGTCGAAAGATGTCTTTCAATATTCTGATAATACGGTAGAATTTGAATATTTAGTTTCCCCAGCCGCTCCCCACTCTCACGCCATATTTCGTAATTTATTGCTCTTTTCCCATTTTCTGTATTTGTGTAACCTTTCCCTTTCCCACCTTTTATTTTACCAACCAGGCCATTACAAAATCCCATTAACCTGTCTGCACTTGGCTCGTTTTGGTACACAAACTCCGCCTCCCCATTACAGTACCCTCGCCCCTATAAAAGCGGCGCTGCTCTCTTCTCGTTCTTTTCCCCTTTTTTGAATCTTCTCAGTATAATCAGAAACAGTATTTTGTGGGGTTTATAATGATATAGGTCATAAATAGTAACTTGGAATTCTGCTCAGATAGTTCTCTAGTGAGAGCTATTGAATTAATAAACAGTAATCTCAACGATGAAAAATCCAGGAATCACAGGAAATCCAATTTTGTCGTTCGAATTAGACAATTGCAGCTCTCAAACAAAATAAGATATGAACATATTCCGTAGTTTTTCGTATATTTTCGTATTATAGACTTGTGAAATCTTCAATTCTATAGTAAGTTGTATTCTTTGATATTTTATTCACTTTCCCATTCCAAACGCCCCGCATACATTCCGTTCCCATATTTTATATGGGAACGGCTTTCCGTTCTAGAAACTATAAAAGGAAGACTCTCGGACAAAAAAATTGTTGTTTTACTTTATTCATTCTTTGGGAACTTTTACACTTGTATTGTTTCACTCATTTCTTATACTTTTAACTTTTTGTCAATAAATTTGTCGATAAAATACGATAAAATTTTGTCGATAAATTTGTCGAAGAAGGCATTTGTCGACAAATTATCGACAAAAATTGCTATTAACAGCCGGAATTACTTGTAAAAATCTCATCTTTTTTCTATGCCATCTGACTTGGTGGCCTAATTTTTCCAACATGAATATTTCATCTTTTTTTCTAGGCCACTAACTTTTTTTTGACCTAAAAATGATCAGATATTCATCTGGTATGTTTTCTAGGCCATTTTTAAATGGTGGACTAGAAAACTCAACGCGCGAAAGTTAGGCCACCATGTTAAAAAGACCTAAAAAGCAGACCAGGTGAACATCAGATAATTTCTAGGCTAAAAAGATTCGTCGCCTAGAAAATGCATGTTGGGAAAATTAGGCCACCAAGCCAGATGGCCTATAAATTTTTTGCTGGGTAAGTTCGGCCATCATTCTAGACGTCCTAGGTAAAAGATACGTTTTTTTTCAAGTAATTCCGGCGGTTAATAGCAATTTTTGTCGACAATTTGTCGATAAATTGTCGACAAGCAGCGTTTTTATCGACAAATTTATCGACAATTGTTTTTATCGACAATTTGTCGGTAATTTGTAATTTTTTTTTGTTTTTTTGTTTTTTTTGTTTTTTTTGTTTTTAATTTTTTTTGTTTTTGTTTTTTTTAATTTTTTTTGTTTTTTTTGTTTTTGTTTTTTGGTAATTTTTTTTGTTTTTATCGACAATTTGTCGGTAATTTTCCGATAAATTTACCGGTAAATTTGTCGATAAATTTGTCGAAAAGGGCGTTTGTCGACAAATCATTTGTCGATAAGGCACACTGGTCGTGAGTATCGAACTGTTGCGATTCAACAAGAACTCATTTATCAGGGAAAACTAACTACGATTTTTTGATGACATACCGTAAAACCTGTATTAGAAGGGCTGGTTCCAAGGTAAGGGCCCTTCTATTACAGGGGCCCTTCAATTAGAGAGGGCCCTTCTATTTTTCCGGCCAGTTTTTTTCCGAAATTTTGCATCGAAAAATTCGTCGAAGTTTTGTTCAAAATTCATGAGAATCTGCCAGTTTTACTAAAAGTTTAGCAAGAAGATTTTTATCGAAAAATAGGGTTTCAACGAAATTCTATGAAGAATTCTATGAAAAATTTCTGATTTCAAAACACATTTTGAAGGGGGGGGGGGGGGGGCTTTTTTCACAGAGGGCCCTTCTATTAGAGGGGACCTTCTATTTTTCCAAGCACTTCCCGAAGGGCCCTTCTATTAAAGGGGCCCTTCTAATACAGGTTTCACGTTAGTTTTCAGTGCGCTTTCTTTTAGTTCAACTGTAAAACCGCTCCAGTCTAAAATATTCGGAACATAAGCAGATAATTTTTTTTTTGCAATTGTGTCACTTGATCGCCATGAATAATGCAATTGGTTATGAAATCTCTGTTGGTTTAGAAATCATGGCGTTTTTTTCTGTCAAAATTATCACAAGCCACATATCGGCTTTCCATTTTCCCCTTTTTTCCATCTGAGTCTCCCCATCTCTCTTTTCTTCGGGGTACTAAAATTTTGAAAGTTTCCTCCATCAATGATATGAAAGTTCTGCGTTTAACGCTTCTCACTTACTCACCTCCTTTCTTCTAAAGCCACGAATATTTTATAGAATGCGACCTCTATTTCGGAAGATGTTGATGCTTATCCATTTTGTTTTGGATGTTTCCATTACAATATGCTCACTTGGACTCTATGCTCCCGGATGGCATTTCAATCTCGATGACATCTTCAAAACTTTCCATTTTGCTCATTACTCCTACTGGGCGTCTCCATTGGATTACGTGGTTTTATGTCTTCTTCGTCAAGTGTCTCTTCTGATTGCGATTATCCTCATAAGACGGGGAAAATCAAAGAAGCTCCGAAGATGGATGTTGATTTACGATATTCTCGGAATTCTTGGGTACATCGTAGCCGTTGTGAAATTGTTGGCATTTGACGAGACTGGAACAATGATGAGCTATCCAGGAATCTATATGAGCACAGGATCTGCAGTGTTCCTCACATTCTCTTTGCCAATTGCCATTCGTTATGCATTATTGATTAAAGAAACTGAAGAGGTCGGATACGAGAGATTGCAGAGTGAGAGCCGAGAAAATACAAATGTGGAAAATGGTAAGATATTGAAATTTCCTGATCTGATATGAAAAAAACAGCACGTTCCGGGAAGAACGGTCCCAAAACAGGACCAGTGGTCCCATCTTCAGACCGCCGGTCCCAAGAATTTCGACAACGGTCCCAACGGTACGACAACGGTCAGTACTTTTTAAAAGGAGTATTTGTCAGAGTGATTTTTTATCTGAAATTATAGGCTTAGGCTGAAACGCGTAGTTAGCCTTATTGCCAACAGTGTGTGCTATCGGTACGGTTTCGGTAAATTTACCGAAAAGAATCGGTAATTTTTAGAAAAATTTTCTTTTTAGAAAAATTTTGTAAACGGACAACCGCGACATTTTAGAACAACGACTTTTTAGAACCGAGACGTTTTAGAACTGCGTCGTTTCAGAACCGCGACGTTTTAGAACCGCGACATTTTAGAACCGCGACATTTTAGAACCGCAACATTTTAGAACTGCGTCGTTTCAGAACCGCGTCATTTTAGAACCGCGACGTTTTAGAACTGCGACGTTTTGAAACCGCGACGTTTCAGAACCGCGACATTTTAAAACTGCGACTTTTCAAAACCGCTACATTTTAGAACTGCGACATTTTAGAACTGCGACGTTTCAGAACTGCGACATTTTAGACGGTAATTTACCGGTAAAATACCGGCAAGTCTTCGGAAGTTTTCAAATTTACAGGTAGGTTACCTGTAAATTTCGGTTAATTTTTACCGGTAAATTACCGGTAAAATCACCAAAAAAGCCGTTACCGGTAAGTGAAAGTCGGAAGTCACACACTGATTGTCAGGAAACAGTGTTTTAACCTAAGCCTGCAACGCGGTGTTTTTTTCAGGACGTAAAGTAAATGTTCTCTAACGCGAATACCGTAGTTGAGCGCGCTGAGTATCGACGCGCATGCATTAGACTGAACGGCCGAGTCGCTACGAACGGTAGCCTGCATTCCATCAAAAAATGCGCGAATTCAAAATTATTTTTAAAAACGTCCCGAAAAAATACCGTGCTGCAATACAAAACAAAAAAAACCGGAGATTCTGAAAAAAAAACTATGGACAAAATTAACTGAAATTGCTTAACAGCTGCAGAATAAGAACATTATGCTAAAAACGAATGGAGACTTTAGAAGAAAAAAAAATGGGGAAAAATTGAATATTCGATTTGGGACCGTTATCGGACCAATGGGACCGTAGTCGAAATTCTTGGGGCTGCTGTTCCCGGAAAGATCCAAAAAACCCATACCCAAAATATCAGGAAAACAAACAAATTTTCACTTTTTGAGCACTCCTGTAACTTAAAAAGGTCTTCGTTCACTCACCAAATTTTCCAAATAAAGAAAGGGGAAAATTAATAAGCATGTAGCAAATCCTTATCAGCTCTTCACCAGACAACTATTAAACACACTCTCTTTTAGGATCCACACATTCTGCCTCGACGTCATCTGAATGCAACACTGAGAATGAAGAAGAAGATGATGCGGTCACAAGAGAAGAGAAAGAGAAACGACTACCGTTGTCCAAGCATCTTTGGCAGATTATGAAGCTATGTGGAAAACAGTGGAAATGGTTCACAGCTGCTTATTCCCTTTTGCTCATTGATTGCATTCGTGAGTTTTTGACTTTTCTGGAAAAATTATTATCTCGAATAGAGTGCCGAGTCGACTCGAAAATCGACGATTTTTTGTCGACTTTGAAATCGACACAATCGACATTCAACAATTCGACAAGGCTATTTGTCGATGAAAATCGAACTTTTAGTTGTCGATTTTTGTCGATTTTGCGTCGACGAAAATCGACGAAAATCGACAAGAATCGACTTTTGTCGATTTTGCGTCGACTTAAAATTGACAAAAATTGACAAAAATCGACAAATCGACAAAAGCGACGAAAAATCGACTTTTTTGGATTTCAGTTGAACTCGTGGTGGCCTAGAAAACTCAACTTGCAAAAGTTAGGCCACCATGTCAAAATGGCCTAAAAACACAACATAGTCTTGTTAGGACATTTTTAGGTCATTTAGAAGTGGTGGCCTAGAAAACTCAACTTGCAAAAGTTAGGCCACCATGTCAAAATGACCTGGGAAACACACCAGGGCCATGTTAGAAACTTTCTAAGACAGAAAAAGGTGGTGGCCTAGAAAACCCAACTTGCAAATGTTCGGCCACCTTATCAAAATATAGCACACTGACAGTTTCAAATTTGTCGATTTTTTGTCGATTTTTTGTCGATTCAAAATCTCCAAAAATCGACTTTTGTCGATTTTCACTTTCATCGACTTTTGAAAAGTCGATTTTTTGTCGATTTTTTGTATGTCGTATTTTGATCGAGTCGACGAAATCGACATCGATTTTGTCGCTTTTCGTCAATTTTTGTTGATTGTCAACAAGCGACACAGCCCACTAATCTCGAATACTTTTCAGTGAATCTTGTACAACCAGCTCTATACAGTCAGATGATGTCAACTGCTATCCAAATGAAATCGTTCGATGTTCTTAAAACAGCTTGCGTGGATCTTGCCATCGTTCAGTTCTCAGCAGCTACATGTAACACTGTCAGATATATTTGTATGCAATACGCTGAACGATTGACTGCTCGAAACATTCGAGTCGGATTGTTCAAGGCTATTCTTCATCAGGATATTTCGTTTTTTGATGAAAATAAAACGGGACAGCTCATGTCCAGAATCACTCATGACTCTGAATCGATCTCCAATTCTCTTCCAGCCTACATTGCAACCGCTACCAGAAACCTCGTCATGATTTTCGGATCTGCTCCAATTATGCTTTATTGCTCATGGCAGTTATCAATCGGTACTTTTATCACATTCCCAATCGCTATACTGGTGACCAACTACTATGGATCAATTGTTGAAAAATTGTCTGAACAGGAAAACGATGCGACTGCCGCGTCGAATGAAACCGTCGAAGAAGTAGTATCCGGCATCCGATCCTTCGCCGCCGAAAAAATGGAATACATGAGATACACGAGGAACACGGATGCTTGGTTTAAAATCAGTATCAAGACTGTTGTTTTGACAACTTTTTATAACTATTTCTTCGCGACCATGTGGAATATTAAAGACCTGGTAGTCTATCTCTATGGTGGTTATCTTACTCTTCAAGGACGAATGGCCCCAGAAGCTCTTCTCACCTACGCCTTCTACCAATGGAGACTTCACGCAGCCCTAAATGTGAGTAGAGTAAAGTGTCGATACAAGTGAAAAATATCTGTAAAATCGTATCGACGCAAGTCGACACAGAGTCGACTCGACACGACATGCCATTTTAAACGCACTCTATTGAAAGGTAGTTTTTGAGTTCAATTTTTTGAATTTTAAAGTATCGTATTGTTTGTTTAACATGATGGCCTAACTTTTGCAATTTGAGTTTTCTAGGCCACCACTTCAAAATGGCTCAGAAAACGCACCAGTTGCATATGTGACCATTCCCAGGCAAAAAAGATGGTGGCCTAGAAAACTCAACTTGCAAAATTTAGGCCACGTCAACTTTAATGTTTTAAAGGTGGGGGGACATGAGAAAAATAATGTTGTCGAAATTCCTTTTAAATATTCTCCTCGAGGAGTTGAACTTGTCGAGGCGAGTGTTGAAGGTGCGGCGCCGCTACCGACTGAGCTACGCGTGCAAAGAGAAAGCCGCTGCCCGATGCATACATAAAGGCGAGGGCGACAGCTGTACGCAGAGTGACATTAAGCGTTGTACACCGTTACGGTAGAATGCATACTCTGGCCCCAAAAATCCTCCGTAAAATCTACTGTCCCCCCACCTTTAAAGAAGAAATTTAACGAAAAAGTTGAAATAAATTCAAATTGTTCAATAGAGCGCGTGTGAAATGGCGTGTCGTGTCGACTCGAGTCGACACGACTCTGTGTCGATACTGTGTCTTCTGGTGTCAGTCGACACGATTTTTATCGACGTCAATAGTCCGACTGACCGACTCAAATCGTATCGATTTTCGTGTCGACACGTTACTCTAAATGTGAGCAACTTTTTCTGTTAGCGTTCCTCAAACTAGTTTTTTTTTGTTTTCAGGAATTCAGTTCCCTCTTTTCCGATGTTATGAAGACAATTGGATCGTCCAGAAAAGTCATCCACATCATGAATCGAATCCCAGAATTGGATTACGAAGTTGGAAGTGAAAATCCAGATGTCGTCGGAAACATCATTTTCGAAAACGTCGAATTTGCCTATCCAACTAGGAAAACTGCGAATATCTTGAATGGAATCAGTCTATCAATTGAGCCAGGAAAAACTGTTGCACTGGTTGGACCAAGTGGAAATGGAAAATCGACGCTCGTCTCTCTACTCCAACTGTTTTATTCTCCACAATCTGGAAGAATTCTTCTGGATGGAACACCGATTCAGCAAATTGATCATCGTCATTATCACACGAAGATTGCTTTGGTTGCTCAAGAACCAACTCTTTTTTCCGGAACCATTCGGGAAAATATTCTCTACGGAATTGAGGATGGAACCGATGACGACATGATGAGGGTTTCTGAAATGGCCAATGTTCACGAGTTCGTATCGAAAATGGAGAAGGGATACGATACAACATGCGGCGAGAAAGGAGTACAAATGTCCGGAGGGCAAAAGCAAAGGATCGCCATCGCTCGAGCTCTCATTCGGAATCCTCGAGTTCTAATCTTGGATGAGGCCACATCTGCGTTGGACGCAGAATCCGAATCGATGGTTCAAGAAGCTTTGAATAGATGTGCCAAAGAGAGAACTGTTTTAGTGATTGCCCATCGTCTGTCCACTGTTCGACGTGCCGATCGAATCGCTGTCATCGAGAAGGGAAGCGTGACGGAAATGGGAACTCATGATGATTTGATGAAGAATCGGGATGGTCTCTACTTCAAATTGGTTCAGAAACAGTTGGGAACCAGAATAGACGAAGAGGAGGAGAAGCCAATTGTTGTCTAATTGTGTTGTGATTTTGTTAATAAAAAGTTTCATTGTTCATGCCATAAGTTGAATAAAATGTTTTCATTTCCTGATCCGCCTCTTCCATTGCTAGTGTCACATACAGATTGACCGTACCCATCAAATACGTCATCGATGCTACATCCAGCTCGGCGCCCTTTCCAGCTAAACTGACTTCTCACTTTTGGCGTTTTGCGGAGAACCGGAGGAATATTAATTACTTTGGATAGTCCATCTTCCAGACTGACAACAGTATGAGCCTCAAATGTAGATTGTTCGTTTTATTCGGAACAATCGTGTCGAATGAGTCGACGTTTTTTCTAGAACATGCTATTGTATCTAATTTTTTATGCTTCTTGCTGAAAGGTCCCACAACGAAAAGTACCGTAACCTAAAAATATGTATTCTTTGTTTTCACTGCTTTTCGTAGAGTTTTCGGTTCTTACTGACCAGTGTGTGCTACCGATACGGTTTCGGTAAATTTACCAGAATTTTTACCGGTACCTTTACCGGTAAATTATCGGTAGAGTCAACGGTAAATTTATCGAAAACTACGGTAATTTTTAGGAAAATTTAATGTTGTTTTTTACAAAATTTGTAACCGGAGAGCGACGATTTACAACCGCGACATTATAGAATTACGACGTTTCAGAAATGCTAAATTTTATAACCGTGACATTTTAGAACCGCGACGTTTCAGAAATGCAAGATTTTAGAACCGCGACATTTTAGAACTGTGCCATTTTAGAACCGCGACGTTTTAGAACTGCGACGTTTTAGAACCGCGACGTTTTAAAACTGCGACATTTTAAAACTGCGACATTTTAGAACTGCGACATTTTAGAACCTCGACATTTTAGAATTACGACATTTTAGAACTGCGACATGTTAGAACCGCGACATTTTAGAACCGCGACGTTTCAGAACTACGACATTTTAAAACTGCGACGTCTTAGAACCGCGACATTTCAGAACTGCGACGTTTTAGAACTGCGACGTTTTAGAACTGCTACGTTTTAGAACCGCGACGTTTTAAAACTGCGACATTTTAAAACTGCGACATTTTAGAACTGCGACATTTTAGAACCGCGACATTTTAGAATTACGACATTTTAGAACTGCGACATGTTAGAACCGCGACAGTTTAGAACCGCGACGTTTCAGAACTACGACATTTTAGAACTGATCATTTCAGAACTGTTGCAAAACTGTCAAAAAAAACTAGTAAAACAGCAGAAAAAACATTCGTTTAGTCTTCGAGGAAAATAGAAATTTTACCGGTAATTTACCGGTAAAATCACCAAAAAAAAGCCGTTACCGGTTCAACTCAAAAACCGACAAAAAATAGAAAATTTTTGAATTTCAGCCAATTTTTGGCCCTACAAAATACGAAATGTTTCCACTTTTTTTTGATTTTATGACCTCGATAAAATCACAAAAAAAAGTCAAGTGACTCATCGAATTTACCATAATCAAATATTGGAATTTCCTCTCTCTGTCCAAAAAGTCCGCTGTTTGCCCAAAAGTTTTCATATTTAAGGAATCGCGAGATTTCGAAACTATTTTTCGAATTTTCTAAATTTTCCTGAATTTCTAAACTTTTGAATTCCCTCTCAAAATTTTCCATTTTTTCAGAAATTAAAAAAAAACACATGGCCGCCTATTACAGCCCATACAACAACGGTGTATGTACCACACAACCGTATCCCCAGCCTCCGCCGCCTCCTGTCATAGTGTGAGTTTTTTGTTCAAAATTCTCAATGGAGCGCATTTCATTTTTTTTAATTTTTTAAATTTCCCGCCAAACCACTAAATTTCAAATTTTTGTCTAGCTGCCAACCCCAACCCGACCACTGTCACCATCACCATCACGAGCCAAATTGCTGTGAGAGCTGCTTAGCATGCTGCCTATGCTGTGCATGCTTCTCATGGCTGTGCTCTTGCTGTTGCGATGATCACTAGAGGAGACATCTGGACGAAGAGGAGGCACAGATGGACCAATTTTTTTAAAATAAAAATTTGACCCCTTTTTCTACATAGTACAATTGAAGGTAGAGGGGGGGGTGCTACTTGTGAAATTGGGCCAGTGCAGTACAAATATTTGCACTGTTCACCTCACAAAAAGGCACAAAGAATGAATAGGATGACTCAAAAAACATAGAACAGGATCAATTTTCTATTTTTTTTTTTCATAAAATTAATACTATTTTTAGGAATCGGAAGCAAAAAAAAGAAGAAAATGCATCAGAATTTTTGGGGAAACAAGTGAAAAGGAGGAGCAGGAAAGCCATAAAACCAATAAAAAAAGAAACCCATAATTAGGAAATAATTATATAATTTTGATTATACGGTATAAGTGATCACAGTGCGTGGGGTGAGGTGCTGAATCTTTGGGATTTCTGGGGCAAAAAAATTTGGGGAAAAACATTTTTTTGGATGATTTTTATACCCGAATATGTACAAGAAGAGGGGGGCAAAAGCTCGGAACAAAAAGAAAAAAATTGGGACCAGAAAAAGAACAATTTAGCTAGCTTGATAGTACTCCTTCCACACGAATTTCTGTCGTTGGTTGTCTTCGGTGCACGTCTCCAGGATGACGTCGGAGCCCGATTCCGAGACGGTGACGCACATTCGTTTTGCGTTGTGTTGGATTTGTTGGGTGTTCTGGAATGTTTGGGAAAATCGATTTTTTTAACATGGTGCACGCTCTCCCACAGAACAATTCCGAACTGCAAATTAATTTTTGATCCACAGAAAAAAAGTTTGGCGCGATCACAATTGCAGGTCTAAACCATAATTTCAGAATTTTTTATCTGATTTTGTGGAGTTCCAAGATGATTCAAATGATTTTCAAAAAATTAATTAGTGGTTATAGATTCATGTATGGTCCTTTTCCGGAAGAAAAAATGTCAAAAATGGTCATTTTTGAAAGTTTTTTACAGAAAAAACCTATCTCCTCTTTCAGTTTTTGTCATTTCTAGGAGTTCTATAGCTCAAAAAAACCGCAATTACTTTCTCTACATTTTCTATGGATGAATTTTTAATTTGTCTGATACAAAAAATTTAAAATTCAAAAACCTCATGAAATTGCACAAAATCGCATTTTTGCGTTTTTTTTCTGTAAAAAACTTTCAAAAATGACAATTTTTGACATTTTTTTCTTCCGGAAAACGACCATACATGAATCTATAACCACTAATTAATTTTTTAAAAATCATTTGAATCATCTTGGAACTCCACAAAATCAGATAAAAAATTCTGAAATTATGGTTTTAGACCTGCAATTGTGATCGCGCCAAACTTTTTTTCTGTAGATCAAAAATTAATTTGCAGTTCGGAAATGTTCTGTGGGAGAGCGTGTGGTGACATAATTTTTGATTTTTCTACGCCCATACCATTGTGGCCTAACTTTTGCAAGTTGATGTTTCTAGGCCTTCATTGTAAATGACTTAGAAGTGACCTGATATTCGCCTGGTTTGTTTTCTAGGCCATTTTAGCACGGTGGCCTAATTTTTTCAGCCTGCGTTTTCTAGGCCACTGTGTTAAATGGCCTAGAAATGACCTGATATTTACCTGGTATGGTTTCTAGGCCCTTTCAAGATAGTGGCCTAACTTTTACTAGTTGATTTTTCTAGGTCACCATGGTAAATAGCGAAGAAATTACTTGATATTCACCTGGTATGGTTTCTAGGCCATTTCAAGATAGTGGCCTAACTTTTGCAAGTTGAGTTTTCTAGGCCTCCATTGTAAATGACCCAGAAATGACTTGATAATCACCTGGTTTGTTTTCTAAGCGATTCCAACATGATGGCCTAACTTTTTCAGTCTGAGTTTTCTAGGCCACTGTATTAAATGGCCTAGAAATGACCTGATATTCATATGATTTGATTTCTAGGCCATTTTAAGATGGTGGCCTAACTTTTGCAAGTTGATTTTTCTAGGCCAAATTGTTCTACAGTTTGCTCTTTTTCTATTTTTTTTCAAATCCGCAATTTTTGTATATAATCATTTCCAGAATTGTCTGGCTCAAAATTTTAAGCTCCGAAGTGAAGAATTGGACATTTTGAGTCTATTTTCAGCACCCAAAAATTTGAGTTTTCACGATTTTTTAGCATTCAGAATAGTCAAAAATCCGTATTTTTGGCGTTTTCTCTGTCAAAATATGGATTTTTGAGCCTATTTTCAGCCAAAATCACTGGATTTTTCACAAATTTTTGGTCAATTTTTCCGCTTCTTTTCTTCATTTGTCACCGAATTTGCCTCTAAAGGTAATCCAAACACCTACCCTATCATAAATCCAATTTCCATTCACCGTTCCCTTGACACAGTGATTCGCCTGAATCCGAATTCCATTCGCCGTCAAACACCACTCTCCTTGTGCCATTTGTCCTTGAACATTGAGTCGAATCAACTGATTTCCACCGTATCCATGACACCCGGAAGCCCCTAATGGTCCAGGAATACCACCCATTCGGTCCAAACACTTTCCAGTTGCCGGATTTCTAGCTTCTCCCCAGACGTCGTTTGGCGGAAGAAGTGGATAGCTTTGAAGGACGTCGTACGCGACGTTTTCCATGTACCATTTGAACGATTTGCATTGGAGCTTATCGCGGAGAGCCAGCTGGGCGGAGATGTCTCCCGGGTTGACATGAGCGGCTTGTGGTTCGCGGGTTAGGTAGTATTTCGAGTAGTCGTCCATCCACGTCTTCACAACTCGCATCATGTTCTGAAATATTGGGATCTTAAGGATCTAGGTATCTCAGAAATCTAAGAATTTCAGATTCCAAAAAATTTAAGAATCTAAGAATCCTGACAATCAAAATTTTATAATTTCAGAATCTCAGAATCATAGAGAAATGTACATCCTTTTTTGGATCTTTTCAGGCTATTTTAGACTAATTTCAGGCCTATTTCAAGCTATTTTTAAGTCATTTTAGGCCAGTTTAGTCTAACTTTAAGGTCATTTTAGGCTATTTTCAGGTCATTTCAGGCCAATTTTAGGTTAATTTTAGGCTTATTTTGGGCTTATTTCATGCCTTTTTGAGAATTTTGGCACATTTACGCTATTTTAGGCTCGCTATTTATTGTGGGAGAATACCCCCCCCCCCCCATTGACCGAATTAGCCTAATTAGCCTTCCAAACTTTCGCAATTGTCGAAAAACCCACTCACAATAGAAATAACCGGTTTGCCAGAGAACTTTCCAAAACCATAAGGCATATGACTACGGTAGACGTGTCCAACATGAGAGCAAGGCACAAAAACGATACCACCTCCACATTGCCAAATCTTGAAACTCAGCTCGTACTGCTCACCACCCCAAATTTGAAGTCCCTCGTCGTAATAGCCCAACTCTTTGAACCATAATCGATTGATAGCGAATAGTCCACCAGCATGGGTTGGGGATCTGAATGGCTGGCTAGTGTGTTTCCTGTGACCCGATTCTCTTTCCGTTATCTGCGTCTCCTTGTACAGTAATCCCCACTCAAAGATTCCCGAGTGATGAGCATTGGGGCTACCGTACACACTTCGATACTCCCACGAATTCGAGTCGATGCCGTCGATCACAGGCACTGTCATCACTTTTCGATTCTGTTTGATTGGCGCTAGAAGTGGTGGCAGCCAGTTGGTGTTGACTTCACAGTGAGCGTCGAGGAAGAGGACGACTTCTCCAGTTGAGTGTTTGGCTCCGATGGAACGGGCGTTGATGAGACCTTCGCGTTGTTCGGTGCGCACGACGATGACTTTTCCGTTGAAGCGAGTCACGTATTTGTCGAGTTTTTCTTTGAGATGTGCTGGAAAATGAGGATATTAGCATGCTTGCGACACCGTTTTCTTCAGAATTTCCTCAGACTGAGCACAGATTTTTCAGCAAAAAGTATTGAAATTAGCAGGGTTCGGGAGGTTGGAGAAGTGTGGAAACGCTGAGATTTAAGAATCTAGGTTACTGTAAATGCTCTAATAAAAGCACCTCCCAAACCGTATATTTTGAGCTCAATTATCTCGGTTCCTGTGTAAGACATCAGACAATTTTTTAACTGATAAATTATCTATCATAATATCATCAATATTTCATCAGTTGACAAACTCCTGATATCTTTCATGGGAACCGAGATAGTTGAGCTCAAGTTTGACGATTTGGTTGGGATTCTATTAGAGCGTTTACATTATGAGAATTCCAGGAATCCATGAGGCCTAGGTATTCCAAAATTTTAAATTTTGAAATCTGAAGGAGAATCTACAAGAATCTGCAAACAAGAGTTTTGGGATTCTAGAATCTTCTAGACACTAAGGGGAGTGTCTGACACTTCTCAAAACGGTCATTCTAGTAGGATTCATAAATTTTTGTATTAAAATTTTATGATTTTGACTGAAAAAAGCTTTGATGGCCTAGAAATCCTCAATTCGTCCAGCCGAATTATTATTGTAAAATTTTTCAAAGTACCGTAAAACCTGTATTAGAAGGGCCGCCCCTTCTATTGTTCCAAGGTACCTCCGGAGGGCCCTTCCATTACAAAGGCCCTTCAATTAGAGGGTGCCCTTCTATTTTTCCAGTCATTTTTCCCGAAAAATTTCATCGAAAAATTCGTCGAATTTCCGTTCAAAAGTCATGAAAATCTGTCAATTTCACCAAAATTGATCAAGTTATTGAGCAAAAAAGTTGTTTTTCAATAAATTTCTATTAAATTTTAGAATTCCCGGTATATTTTTCACTAAAAACGTACGGAAATTTTTTAATTTCATGACTATTTTGAAGGGGGTCCTTCTTTGCAGGAGCCCTTCTATTACGGGGGCCCTTCTATTAGAGAGGCCCTACTATTTTTCCAAACCCCTTTCGGTGGGGCCTTCTTTTAGAGGGGCCCTTCTTTTAAAGGGGCCTTCTAATACAGGTTTTAGGGTATTCACTTCAGGGCCTGCAAAACTAGAAAATTTCCAGAAATCCCAAAGTCTCGGAATCTCCGGATTTTAAATTAGAAAGTTTCGAAATTTAGAATTTAGAATAACAGAAACTGAGAATTTCAGAATATCCTATTCTGAAAGTCTCTGAATTTCAGAGTATCCGGATCTCCAAGTCTCCGATTTTCAGAATTTCAGAAGCTCGGAATCTCAGAATTTCAGAATCTAAGTAACTCAAAATTTCAGAATTTCAAAACTCACGCTTATCAGAATCATCATCAACCATCACAATTTGCTCAATCAACTCAGGCGGTGATCTCAACAAAACCGAGTGCACAGTCCTTAACAACGGCGTCCATCCCTCGTTATGAAATACGATAACCACAGAAACAGTCGGCAGGTTCTCCGGATAATCCCAGTGCTTACACTCCTTTGGCCGAATATCCGGAATCGTTCGATTCATTGAAATCATATCCGAAACATAGGTATTAAAGCCGAATTCCTTTTCGGCCGCCCGTCCGGCCGCCATTCCTTCCTCGTCTGTGACTGGAACCGGCCGCCCGTGCTCTCCTGGTTGATTTGATGGAATTTCTGCGGTTTTTGGCTCGTAGTTTCCGAGTTCTCCATCACGGAAAATCGTATTCGGGTCTGGTCCACCGGGTAGCTCCTTGTTGATTATGGTGTCTAGATCATCGAATTTCAAAGCAGCACTGTTGGAATCCAAAGAGGAGAAGTTCTGAAAAAATGGAAAATTCGGAAAATAACGGAATTTTCAGAGATTTTGAAAAAATACGAAAATTTTCTTAGTTAAAAAAACAATGATTTTTCAGGATTTGAAATTTAAAACGACAAAAAGCAGGCTTTTTTTTTGACAGATTTTCTTGAATTTTTCAGCAAAAATGACTTTTTTAGGTCAATTTTTGAAAAATTTGAAAAAAAAATGAAAAAAATCGAAAAATTAAAAACTTCCGAAAAACTCGATTTTTTATCATTTTTCGGGCTCAAACGGTTTCTCTAGTCCTTTTTAAGCTCTAGGCCATCGCAATTTTCTTATTTTTTCAACTTCTTCTTCTAATTTTTCGACATTTTTTGAGGATTTTTTCAATTTTTCTCACCTTTCCTCTACTATTATACACAAAACCGAACAACACTAACACTCCTAGGATGATGTACGTCGCTACCCGGCATCCTCTGAAAAAAATTGAATTGAAAAATTTTGAAAAATAAAAAAAAAGGAAAATAACCTTTGCCTCCATAATCTCTGCACTTGTAGCTTTTTCCGAGCGATAAACATCGTTGGTTTATACCCTGAAAATCGAAATTTTCAAATTTTTTTATCCCAAAAACCAATTTTTCGTCATAAAATATCCATTTGAGCTCTAGAACTCTCCCTAACCTCTAAATGTGTTGGCAATTCTGACTTCGCCCACTTTTTTGCACCGGTGCGGCGCGCCTTTTCGCAAGTGTGCGGCACACTACGACACTCCGATATCCCGCGGATTTTGCCTTTTTTCAACGGCTTTTTCGGCGTTTCCGATGCTAATTGAACAATTTTCTAGGTCAATTGAACGATGAAAGTGCCCGTCAGAAGTCTACTCGCACTGCGGAAAACATCCACGACGTCGGTGGCCGCTGTGGAAAGTGAGGCATCGAAAAAGGAAATTTTGAAAATTGAAATTAAAAAATAAAGGATTCGAAGGCTTTATAGGTAGAAAAGTGCGCAAAAAAAGCTGGAGAATAATAGAAAATTGCTTTTTCTCGAAGATTTTTGGGGAGAGGGCTAAAAATTTGATTTTTCTTCAAAATCTCTAAAAATTCCTTTTTCTGGTGTAAATGAAGTAATTTTCCGAATTTGAAGTCGAAAAACCTAAGAAAATTTGGATTTTCCAGGAGAGAGAAGCAAATATTCGCTGAAAATCTGGAATTTTGAATTTCAGGCTATTTTTCTTCCTATAGAATCTGTATTTGAGTTTTCTCGCACTATAACGATTTTTACCGAAAAATCCAACTTTTTTCATCAGAAAAACCCAAAAATCCCAATTTCCAGCTCTAAAAAAATTCGAATTTTTCAGAAACTCCTTCACCAATTCTCTCTTCCGAATTCTTCGATCACATCCGTCATCAAGTTTATGGCGATGCGAAAAAAGTGGACAAAATTGTGGTGACAGTGAAAAATGTGGATGACCCCCGACCGGTGCTCGTCAATCGCAATGTTTCGACCGCTTTTCACTGCTTTAATCGTAATTTTTCACTGAAAATCGTCCTAAACCTCTGAAATTCCTTCCAGACCTCTCCAAACAATTCGCCGACGACGCGGTGCTCGTCGAGGTGACACCATCAGTGGGCGGAGCCTATTTCTCTAGTGTCAATCAGCCGATCGCCGACCAATCAGAGATCACAAGAATCGGATTCGATACGCGGGAGCATGTGAATCTGGTGAATGAGGCGTATTGGAGATCGTGCTCTCTGGTCACTGCCGCCTTTTTGAGAGAAGCGCTCAGTGGTGACGTGGATTTTGGTTTTCCAGTGGACAATATTCAGAATGGTTTCTTTTCTGTGGCAGTCAAAGGGTTGGATGGAAATGTTTTCACACCGGTGAGTGCTGAAAATGCTCAAAAATCTTTCAGAAATGACCTAAAATGGACTGTAAAGGAAACGAAATTCGCTAGAAAATTATTTTAGTATTGATTTAAATACCTTAAAATTGACTAAAATTCACCGTAAAACTTGTATTAGAAAGACCCCTCTAATAGAAGGGCCCTCCGTGACGGGCTCGGAAAAATAGAAGGGCCCTTTGTGAGGAAGAACCCCCTTCAAAATGTGTTTTGAATCAGAAAGTTTCCGTTCTTTTTCAGCGAAAAATATTCCGGGAACTCCAAAATTTAATAGAAATTTGCTGAAACTCTATTTTTCGATGAAATTTTTGATATATTTTGTGGAAATTGGCATATTTTCATGAATTTCGAAGCTAAATTTCGGAAAAACAGGCCGGAAAAAAAGAAGGGCCCCCCTCTAATTGAAGGACTCCTGCTATAGAAGGGCCCTCCGGTACCATGGAACGATAGAAGGACCGGCCCTTCTAATACAGGTTTTACGGTAACTAGTTTTTTCTCAAAAAAGTCCTTCCGAAGTTGAAAGTTTTTGATGTTCGGATTTTTAAAATTTTTCAATTTTCCAGGACGAGCTAAACACAATCAATCGATTCGGCAAGACGTTCATCCGTGAGGAGAAGCCGTTCGAAACCCTCTCCATCCCTCAATCAGTATCAGAAGAATCCGGAATTCAAGGCGATCATCTCGTTCGAATCGGCCGTCAAGTTTTCGCCACAAACGGTCCCGTCATCCGATCCACCCGTCAAATCGGCCGTTTTTCGATTTTCAAATCCAAAATCGATGATTCAGAAGTGATCGTTGGAGGTGTTTCGATTCCACACTGTCAGCCGACGTCGTCGTATTCATGGAGTCTCATCGCGAAGAATGCCATGCAGAAATTTAGTAGAACTCAATAATTATCTATATTTTAGAAGTGTATAGAAATTCTTCTTTGTTTTGTTACTTTATTTTTCGTTATGAATCCCAAAAAAGCCTTGAAAATCCATTTTTTTTGCTCGAAAATAAGGCAATTTTTAGCATCTAAAAGTCAAGCTTTCACTCAGAAATGCTATTATTCATGCGAAAAATTGGAAATTTTCAACCTCAAAATTCGAATTTTGGAAAATAGGAAAAGTTGGAAGTTCCAGAATTCAAATTCTGAAAATTGTGGATTCTACTTTTTCAATTTGAAGAAAATAGTCCTAAAAAGTGATCCAAAATGTTTCGAAATGTCTGAAATTTTTAGAAACAAAAATAGAGCTTGTAGTTGACCACTTTTTTCTAGCTACCGTAGTTTTTGAGTTAAGCGCCTTTGAAGTAAGCAACATCAATATCAGTGCTAATTTTAGAACTTTTTGGTTACACATGGCATATCTCATTAGGATGAATTTTTACAAGGAAGTTGTCAATTACAAAAATGAAGATCTATTTTTGTTTAGTATTCCCTCCAATTTTCAGGCAAATCGGAAAATTCTGGAGTACTTTCGTAGACCTTGTAAGTTGGCTATTTTCCACTGAAACCCCTGAATATTAATACAAGGGACAAGGATAACAAAGCTTTATTGGAAATTCAAGGAGGACACTAACTGAGGCTTCCATTCGGTCGGGAATGTTAGCCGACCGACCGACCTCCGACCGACAGCCATCGATCGGAGCGGTGATTTCCTTCTCGGTGTCTTTGGGAGCTTCTGACGATAGAGATCCTTGGAATGCATGAATCTCCCTGTCGATGCGCCATATTCTAGCAGATTTGGTGGTTCTGGAAAAAATAGTACAAAGATAAAAACATCAATTCATCCGACAAACCTTTATTTACTGGGCTGGGATATTCTTGACGTCTACAGTAGGAGTCCACGAAGTTATGGGGTTTTAATTCCCAGCCTATGGTTAGTAATATTGAAATAGGGCTAGTGTTGCCTCTTCCAGGAATTGAAAGAAGTCATCTTGAATTTCACGGCTCCAGGACACACGACCCACGACCCACGACCCACGACCCGGGGCCCAGGACCCAGGGCCCAGGACCCAGGACCCGAGACCCCAAGGATCTCAAGGATCCCAGGGATCCCAAGGATCCCCAGGATCCCAAGGATCCTAAGAATCCCGAGGATCCCAAGCATCCCAAGGGAATATCAACGAATATTCAACGAATTTTCAACGAAAATTTATAAGAAAAAAGTTAGGTCCACTGATTATGAATGAATTGAAAGTATGCGTCCTCTGACACTTGTATCTTTCGCTCCATTCGAGTCATTCGTTCATCGCGTTGCTGGAAATTTGAATGAAAATTGAACAATTAGTTTAGTTTGATTTGGTTGCATTTCCATTGTTATTATTACTCGGAACTATGCAAATTATTCAAATTTAATTAGGCAATTTTCATTTTGTTTTTCAAAACTCACTTTTCTTGAGAACCGGTATATGTAAGCAGGCATTATGAGAGAGTATAATGGAACAAAGTAGATGACTGAAAATTATTTTTTAAAGATTACCGTATGATTCCCTTAACTTTGATCCAATTTTTCTCTGTTCCTATGAGAGATATCGAAACTTTGTCAACTGGCAAAATGTAGTTGATATTATGATAATCATTTTGTCAGTTGACCCCTTTTTGATATCTTTCACAGAAAACGAAATAAATTGGCTTGAAAGGGGGAGGCCTTCTGTTACAGGTTTCACGGTTACCCCCAGACACCCCCAGACATTTTTAGAATTTCTATAAATTCCAAAAAATACAAAATTTCCAAAATTCCGCAATCCAAAAACACTACAAATTCCGAAAATTTAAAAGTTCGAAATTCCAAAAAATTCAAATCTTTCGGGAATTTCCTAAATTTTTCAAATATCCAAAAAATCGAAAATTCGAACGATTTGGAAGTTTCAAAAGTTCCAAATGCTCCGAAAGTTTCAAATTGCAAAATTCTAAAAATTTTCAAAAAATCGAAATTTTCGAAAAATCCGAAACTCCAAACATCAAAAAAATAGGAGAGGTAAATTCAAAATTTTCTAAAAATTCCTGAAATTTCGATTCCAAAATTTTTGAAATTCAGGTTTAGAATATCTGAAAAATACACTAAAAATTTCTGAAAATTTCTTCCAAAATCGAAAACTATGAAAATTTAAAAAAAAAACGTTTGAATTACCGTAAAACCTGTAATAGAAGTGCCCCCTGACTTTCAACTTTGAGCCCATTTATCTCGGTTCCTGATAAAGATGTAAAAAATGTGTCAACTAATAAATTGTTGCTGCTATCATGATAAACAATTTATCAGTTGACACATTTTTGATATCTTTATCAGGAACCGAGATAATTGAGCTCAAAGTTGAAAGTCAGGAGGCACTTCTATTACAGGTTTTACGGTAACATAAAAATCAAAAAATCAAAATATTCAAAACTTCCCAAAAAAAAACTCTGAAAACTCAAATTCCCAAAAATTCGGCAACTCCAAACTTTCAAAAATTCCAAAAATCGAACTTTTCAAGAATTTCTTAAAATTGCATTTCTTTGGTTTTCTGCCCTTGAGCTTGTGGTCGAATTATCAAAAATGCAGGACCTAAATAACTGAGCTCACCTTCAAAAAGAGCATAATACTCTGCCGAATCCATATGCTTTCCAATCAAATGAAACGGAATTCCCATTGTGAAATAAATCAAAATAAATATAAAATCACACTTCGTAAACGCTCTTAAAATATTCACAACATTCAAATTTTCCTCGATTTGATACTTCTGGCTCAAGTTGTTTGAGCTACTTCCAACTCGGATTTTCTGAAAAAATAACCTTATACAAGAAATTCTGAGATTACTGTGGATTACCCGATTGATACTCATAAGTCTGCCAAATTGGAAAAATGCAAGAACATTTGACAAAATTGCAACTGCCTCCGGTATGATCAGAAAATAGGGATCCGAAGATTGGCTTCCCGTGCAAAACTCTTGCGCGTTTTGAAAATCGAATTTGTAAAAAATCGCAAAAGTGGTCGCGCCGCCCATGAAGATTTGTCCCAGGATAAGCATGCAACCCAACGTTTTGTGACGATTTTCGTATTTTTTGTAGCTTTTTGTTGCTATCGTTCGCTCGATAACCATGAAAACCGTCGAGTAGCTGGCGCAGAATAATCCGAAAATGTAGGGGATTCGCGTGGAGAGACATCTGGAAATTGGTAAATTTAGACTCCAAATTTTGAAGGGGTGGTTGTCAAAAAGGTACCTCTGGATACTGGGAACTTTTTCACAAATTGGAATATGCGAAAAGTAGAGAAATAGGTCAGAACCATGTTGGAAGACTCTGGAATATCAATTTTTTTGGATTTATAGGATCAATTTGAAAGTTTTATTAATTTGAGATACTTAAAAAGCCAATAGATACGATCATTTTGAAATAGAGCATTTCGCAACTAGGCGTTTTAGAACCGGTAATTTAGCAAGTGACCACTTTGCAACCGGACGTTTTAAAACTTGCCATTTTGAAACCGATGAATTCGCAACTGACCGTATTACAACAAGAAATTTCAGAACTGCGACGTTTCAAAACAAGTTTAAGCACTAAGTCTTTTCGGAACCACTAAGTTCACAAACTGCAAAGTTCCAGAATCGCAAAGTTTTGAAATTGAGACGTTTCGGAAGCGCAGAGTAATTGACTGTTTTAGAACTTGGTCCTTTCGCAACCGATCGTTTAAGAACCGACCATTTTGCCACCAGACCTTTTAGAACCTGTCATTTCACAGTTAATCATTTTACAACGAACCATATCGACTAGGCCTTAGAACCGAAAATGATGCAACCGTTCTCAAACGCCTGGTTGCGAAATAGTTAGAAATTCCTTTTACGTACAGTACCGGTAAAAATGATATAGAAAACGTATTTTTCAGTTGATTTTCAACCTATTTCAAGGGTCTGGAACACGGCTGACAAGTTTCCAATCAATTTGAAAATTTTAAAGGGTAAAAAACAGACCTAGATTGAAAACTTTGCATTCACAGAATTTTTTGAGAACTTCTAGCAAACTTCTAGAGAACTTCTAGTTCAGCAGTTATTTTCCGATTTTTGAAGGATGCATGTTTTTCACGTTTTCAGTACAAACAAGGACCAAAACAATAGGGAGGGGTCTATCCAACGGTCAGAAAATCATCTCAAACGGACCATTTTCAACAAAGTTATGACGGTTTTTAGAGTGTGCTGCAAAACACCTCGCGAAGGTGAGAGGCGCAGAGACGCTGGACACTCTGTTTGTCTGCGCACTCCTCGCTTTGCACACCCTCTACGCGCTTAACTTTAAATGCGCATAACTTCCGTTAAACATGTGCGATTTCATCCGTGTTTTGACTGTTAGTTTTAAATGTTTTCTATTTTTTAGTATTTTTTTCGAATTTTCCTTTTTTCTGCCCATGTGTACTGAAAACGCGAAAAAAGTGCCTTTCAGAAATCGGCAAGTAACTGAAAAACTAGGAATTTTCAAAAAATTCTGTGAATGCAAAGTTTTCAATCTAGGTCTGTGTTACACCCTCCAAAATTTTCAAAATGATCGGAAACCTGTGAGCCGAGTTTCAGACTTCTGATAATGGTCAAAAATCAACTGAAAAATACGTTTTGTACATCTTATTGACCATCCTCTAAATCGTTCAAATTATCTCTAAATTGTTCAAAAATTGCTCAAATTATCTCTATATTGTTCAAATTGCTCTAATTAGTTTACCTCGCCACACAGTGAATAATCAAACAAAGACAGTGAAACGCAGAGATTAATCGGATATTAAAATGAAACAATTTAGAATTTTTGCATCGTTGAAACATGTGAAACAGCACTGGGATTGATATAGTCGATAGGATCAACATGAACGTTTCGACAAATGTCAAAATGTTCGAATCCACAATTTTCGCCACTAACTTCTTGTCGCATGCCATTCTTCGGTGGAAAAAATGAGAAGAAAAATGAGTAATGGAGTTAGTCCTAGTCAATAAAATTACAACGAATTCGACGGAATGTTTTGTATCCACTGAGTCAAGATTCTTGTCTGAAGGGGGTTTTTGATTGTTATTGAGTTACTGGGAAATGAAAATATTCGAGTTGTCGGCAGAAAAATATAATACTTCTCTAAAAATGGGAGCTATTCATTGAGGATTAGGCCCTGACGTCCGAAGAAGGCTCATGACGGATTATAGTGTCAAACAATACATGTTTTTCTTTTATGTTCGTTTTCAAATTCTGTGAAACTTAATTTCTGAGACAGACGCATTTTCAGACTAGAAAATCGAATTTGACATGTAATTATGATATTTTGTGTAGCAATTTTTTGCATGCGGGAGAAAGGAATAAACGTTAGATTCTTTGAAAGGAAGTGGAAAATCAAGAAATCAAAAAAACTGGATTCTCTGAAAAAAGATTCTAACCTAGTTCTGGTTGGGAAAATTAATGATTTAACAGGTTCCCAGGAAAATGGATTGAAAAAAAACAAGAAAGAAAAAGTGAAGCAAAAAGAAAAACACACAAAGATTCAGAAAAAAATATTTTAAATTTTTTCTCAAAGATAACGTACATGCAATTTGAGCTTAATTATCTCATTTCCCGTAAGAGTTATCAAAAATGTGTCAACTGATATAACGTTGGTGACAATATGATAAACATTTTATTAGTTAAAATTTTTTCGATATCTCTTACAGAAACCGAGATAAATTGTTTCGAAGTTGACGCACCCTTTTCCGTTCTTCTTTTTTCGATTATCTTGGTTAAGTCAAAACTCATGTATCTCAGTTCTTATGAAAGATAACAAAAATGTGTCAACTGACAAAATGTTTATCATATTATCAGCTACATTTTGTCAGTTGACAAAATTTCGATATCTCTCATAGGAACCGAGAAAAATTGGATCAAAGTTAAGGGACTCATACGGTAATCTTTAAAAATAATTTTCAGTCATCTACTTTGTTCCATTATACTCTCTCATAATGCCTGCTTACATATACCGGTTCTCAAGAAAAGTGAGTTTTGAAAAACAAAATGAAAATTGCCTAATTAAATTTGAATGGTTCGCATAGTTCCGAGTAATAATAACAAAGGAAATCAATCAAATCAAACCAAATAAATCTTTTAATGTTCATTCAAATTTCCAGCAACGCGACGAACGAATCATTCGAATGGAGCGAAAGATACAAGTGTCAGAGAACGTATATTTTTTAAACAAAAATGTGTCAACCAGAGATGTACGGAATGACTATTTTTGAGAAACGGAATCCGGAAACTGGAATCTGAAATAAAATAATTTTCCCGAGATCCGGAATTGGGAATTTTGAGGTCTCCGATGGGCAGAAAAAAAATGTAAAAAACACATTTGGGCTTTATTTTCGCATTATTAGTCTCTGAAGTTCAAAAACGGCAGAGAATTCATGCAGATTAACACATTTTCTGAATACGGAATCCGGACAAAAATATTTTTCACGGAATTCGGAATCCGGAATCCGGAATGAAAAAAAGCACGGAATCCGGAATCCGGACATCTCTGGTGTCAACTGATAAAATGTTGCTGATAATACGATGAATATTTTATCAGTTCACATTTTTTTATGTGAAATTTTATAAGAACCGAAATAATTAAGCTCAAAAATGAGAACGTATTGGGTGGCGTTTTAATAAAGTCATAACTGCCAATGTACCCCATTTCCTCACCCCGTCCCAATTTGAAAATCTCCTTGATTCTTCTATTTCTCGCTACTAGCTATTATCCTTATTTTTAACACATGTATTTTACTGTATATAATTCCTCCCTTTTCCATTATTCTTCTTTTTTTAACTTATTAAGCGCTCCTCGTGAGGGGGGCTGCCTTTTTCTTATGTACCGTTTGTCACCGCTCTGAAAATAAATAAATCTAATCTAATCTAAGAAGCACAGGAAAAAAACACAAACCAAAAAAAAACGACGGACCAAAAAATCATGATCCCGTGTAAGAAATCTTCGACCGGAAAAATTCAAATTGTGCGAAACAATAAAAAACAACGAATTCATTACAAAAGTACATAATCCTTAAGAAGCGTTTGGTGTGTATTTACTAGTGTTAATTGGCGCGACTCCGTTCTTCCCAATTAAAACTTTACAAATAATTATCGCCTCAATAACAAATCCAAAGTTCTTGCATAACGCACTCAATGGCCCAACAGTTTCAAAATTGACAGCTGGAAAATGAGTGAACAGAAATGAGGGAAGTATATCGAATGCGAAAATTATGACAGTATCCAATAGGGATATTCTAGTGGTCTAAAAAATTTTTTTTGCATCAATTTTTTGTATCAATTATTGCGTCAAGTTACTCTAGAAATCCTTTTATTCGTCTGATTCTTGGAAAGACGACTCCAGACAAACAGTCGAAAGCATAACACCCCAGATGATAGGCCGATTGAGAAGTAGCCGATCTAAAAATCTTTTTTTGTTTATCACTGATATCAATCTAATCACAAACCTGCTCGAACCACAGCCAATAGTCATGATAGCACTTGTTCACTGAGCATCCCAAATGCAGGCAACTCGTCGGAATATCAATTTCAAATTGGCAAAATTTGAAAAGAATTATTTGCTCGAAAATTGCATACACAAAAAGTGAGAGGAATATGCTTAAATTGGGCAATTTGGATCTGTTCTTGTGATAGAAAATCGGAAAGTAAGATGCGCAAAGTCTGTCGATGATGATAAAGAACACGAGAAAAACTCGGATAGATCCGAGGTTATAGGTTGGCCAGGCAATATAAAATGACAAGTTTTTGACTACAGTATCCGGAGAGACTACGCGAATTAGAAAGTAAGTTAGGTTAAAGCAATCTGAAAAGAATACTTTAAGCTGTTCAAAAACGTATTTTTCAATTGATTTTCGGCAATTTAAACCATTTTCAGAAATCTGTAGCTCGGCTGTCAAGCTTTCAGTCACTTTCAAAATTGTGGAGGGTGTAAAACAGACCTAAATTGAAAACTTTGCATTTACAGAGTTTTTTGAGAACCTCTAGATCATCAGCTATTTTCCGATTTTTGAAGGATGCATGTTTTTCCCGTTTTCAGTACAAACAAGATCCAAAACAAGGGGGAAAGGTCTATCTAACGGTCAGAAAATCATCTCAAACGGACAATTTTCAACAAAGTTATGACGCAAAACACCACTCTGCGTGTCTGCGCACTCCTCGCTTTGCACAGCCTCTACGCGCTTAACTTTAAACATGTGCGATTTCACTCGTGTTTTGAATGTTAATTTTAAATGTTTTCTATTTTTAATTTTTTTTTCCGAATTTTTGAAAATCCACCCGCCCCACTCTTTTTTGTGCCCATGTGTACTGAAAACGCAAAAAAGTGTCTTTCAGAAATCGGCACGTAACTGAAAAACCAGGAATTTTCAAAAAATTCTGTGAATGCAAAGTTTTCAATCTAGGTCTGTTTTACACCCTCCAACCTTTCAAAGTGATCGGAAAATGGACAACCGAGCTCCAGACTCCTGGAAATTACCTAAGATCCATTGGAAAATATGGTACTGTGAATATCTGAAACTTACTACAAAGCGCGTAAACCACATCCACTGCAAACCTTGAATAGATAAGAGTCATATCAGATTTTTTCTGGGCTTTCTTCAAACAGAAAATAGCCAAAAGAATGTAAGAATTCAAGTAAAAAGTATTCAGGGATAGGAACAAGGCTGATGAAGCCGTTATCAAAACCGGGACATACATTTTTCAACAAAATGAGGAAGAAAACGAAATATTTCAAAACTAGATAATGATGTAAGCCTTCGACTTCACACTCCAATGAGCGCACATGAGCTCTAATGTGCAGAACAACGTGGGTGCGGAATTCGTTTAATCAATGTTCTCAAAATATTTCATTCAAACTTATTAGGTCGGTACAATAACAGATCGAGAGATTCTAGTGACGGAGCCTGGTTGTACTTGCTGATTTTTACCAATTAGTACTCCACATGTAATGATCGATTCAATTACGAATCCAAAGTTTTTACAAAGAGCACTTAAAGGTCCAACAGATCGAAAGTTGACTTCTGGGAAGTTGCTCATCAGAAAAATGGGAAGAAGGTCGAAGACAAAAATGATGAATGAGTCGAGGAGCGAAATTCGAGTTGCCTGAAAAAATTGGGGAAATCTGGATTTGAAGTAATTAGGCTGTGGCTACGCGGCACCTCCAACTATGGGCCCTCATCTCCTCAAAGGCATACTTGTAAAATTCCGGGCCGGCCCGGAAGGCTCGGTATCAAAAATCCTGTATTTTTGAGCCAAATTTTGAGCTCAGGGCCCCCCTTATGTGTTTTTTGAAATTTCCAAAACTTGTGAAATGACGGGCCCGCGGGTCGGGCCGGGCCTCCGAAATTCGGAAAAAAAGCACAGCACGGCCCGGCGCGGTCCGTTACAAGTATGCTCAAAGGGCTTATATAAACTGGGCTAAGTGCTTAATGTCTCCCCTCTTTTAATACATTTACCGTATACCAAGTAGTCACAATGGTAGTTCAGGGAGCGAAGAGGACAAAGTGAGTGCCCGCTCAAATTGGATAATAAATTAAAGTCAAAGATTTCCAGTTTTCTAATGAGAACGGGAACTAGATTGTCTTGTCATAGTGTAGCGGATGTCTCAAACTACAGTACCAATCTATGAGATATACAAAAACGAATTGTTCAGTTGATTGTCATCTTTTTCTAGAGTCTGGAGTTCGGCTGTCCAGTGTTCGATCACTTTGACAATGTTGGAGGTTGTAAAACAGATCTAGATTGAGAACTTTGCATTTACAGAATTTTCTGGAAATTCCTAGTTTTTGAGCTGTTTGCCGATTTCTGAAGGACACCTGTTACTTTCACGTTTTCAGTACAAAAACAGGCCAAAAAGGGGTGTTTCTCAGAATTGAGCAAATAGCTGAAAAACTAGAAACTTTTAAAAAATTCTGACAGCCGAGCTCTAGAATTCTGAAAATGGTCTAAATGGCTGAAAATCAACTGAGCAATATTTTTTGTAAACATATATATATATATATATATATATCTTATTGACCGGTACTGTAGATATACTCACTCTCGATATTGTCTGATTGTTAGTAGAGTGTGAGCAATTGTTCCAAACGAACAAGCGGAAGCATAATAGCACAGATAATGTACCCACACAAAAATGCATTATCTCAAAACCTATGGTTTTATTATTTTCTAAACCCTAACAAACCTGCTCATAATACTCCCAATAGTCGTGATAACAAGGGTTTGTAGTGCATCCAAAGTTTGCACAACTCAACGGAACATCAATGATAAATGCGCAAATTCCAAACAAGATGTATTGCTCAAAGAGCACGTAGGCAAAAATATAGATTGAAACTGCCAAAAGAGGAAATTTGGATCTGTGAAGGTGATAGATAATAGGAATGCAGGTTGCTAAAACTCGGTCAATAGTTATAAAAAGGACGGTCCATGATCGAATGCTTCCAAAAATTAGGTTAGGCCAAGCGATGAAAAATGATAAATTCTTGACTACCAGGTCGGGAGATAGCATTCTGAGGATATTGTATGTGAAGTGGATTGTCGCTGAAAATGGTTTTTAGTCAGGTCAAAGTTAAGAGTCAAGAAACATGTGTTCTTACTAGCAAAGGAATAAAGCATGTCCACAGCGAACCTGAAATAGATCAAAAACAATCCAGAACTGTTCTTTGAGAATTTCGATTTACAAAAAACCATAAATAAAAGGTACAGATTAAGTAGGACATTAATGAATGAGAATACGAGAGCTGATAAGGAGACAGTGGTAATAATAGTTGACATTTTTAGAGAGAATGATCACAATTATTCTAGTTAGTCATGTCCGTTGTTGTGCTCTTAACAGTTGGATGAGCATTTTTCTAATTTCCTATTTCTGAACAGTGATACATAAGACTACGAATACGAAAAGCATGAAGCACGACATCTGAAAAGTCACGAACTAATCAATAGATCACTTTGTATCTTTTTTGACCAGGAAGTCTGTTTATTGTAGTCGTTGGAGAAAACTGATGTCTGAAATTGGAATTCTCACGTTTACAGAGCATGTGAGAGATGTGTCTCGGAAAAAAATTCGGGATTACTGTAAAAAATTCGGGATTACTGTAAAGAAAAAACTAATTCAATTTCCGATTTTTTTTTTGAATTTTTGAATTTCTGAATCTCTGAATTTCTGAATTTCTGAATTTCCGAATTTCTGAATTTCTGAATTTCTGAATTTCAAAATTTCTGAATATCTTAATTTCTAAATTTCTGAATTTCTGAATTTCTGAACTCCTGAATTTCTGAATTTCTGATTTTCCGAATTTCTGAATTTCAAAATTTCTGAATATCTGAATTTCTAAATTTCTGAACTCCTGAATTTCGGAACTTTTGAGTTTTTGAACCGATCAAATTTTGACCATTTACAATAATTTCAGGTCCCTCAAATTTTCAAATTTTCAGATTTCTGAAATCATAGACTTATAATTTTTTTTTTTCAAAATTCCCAATTGATCAAATTTATTCCAAAGCTCAAAAGGAGATACAAACGCACAAGTTATTACAATTATTATTATTACACAGAGAAAATTATTAGTAAATCAAACCAACGATTCGAAAAATTTGATTTCTTCGGCTCTCAACTGCAACACTTCACTCTCTTTCAACTGCTCATCCTCCTCTAACGGTTTCAGATTTTTCACAAATTCCAGAACTTTCTCCGAGAGACTAATGGGATTCAAATCAATCTTCATTTTTGGTACCAACGATTGGTTCTCCTCAAAAAACTTCTCAGTCCATTTGTTCCGTTGCTCAGCCAAAAATTCCAATTCTTTATTCTTCTCTCTCATTTCATGGATCGAATCAAACAAATCCAAAAGTGTCTTTCGAACTTCAATCTGATCCAAATCGTTTGTGGGTTTTGGAGATTCCCAAGAATCGCCGGATTCTGAATTTTCAGAATTTCCCGAATCCTTAAAGTCCTTCGTCTTCTCATTCAACTTTTCATCAACTCCCGTTTGAATTCTCTTCTTTTTATATTGAGTTCGTGTCTTCAATTCTCTCTCCAACCTATTTTTCTCATCTCTCGCTTTTTTCAGCTCCTCGTCCCGTTTTTTCAGCATCTCCTTCAGTTTGATTTCGATGAAATTTGTGGATTCGTCAGCTTTGATGTATCTGTTTTGGCCGGAAATGAATGATGAGGTTTCGTGGAACATTTTCACCTGGAAATTAATATTTTGGAGATTCAGAGATTCAGAGATTCGAAGATTCTGAAATTCTGAGATTCTGAGATTCTGAGATTTGAGATTCTGAGATTCTAAGATTCTGAGATTTTGTGATTCTGAGATACTGAAATTTTGAGATTCTGCGATTTTGAGATTCTGAGATTCTGAGATTCTGAGATTCTGAGATTCTGAGATCCTGAGATTCTGAGATTCTGAGATTCTGAGATTCCGAATTCCGAGATTCCGAGATTCCGAGATTCTGCGATTTTGAGATTTTGCGATTCCGAGATACTGAAATTCGGAGATTCCGAATTTTCAAAATTAAAAAAAAAGTTTAAAAAATATTTCGAAAATTGCATAAAACGCATAATAGTTTTGAAAGTTGATTATTTGAAAAAAAAAAAACGTCGGAAAATAAGATAAAATATGGTTTGGAAAATCAGAAAAAACTGTTAAAAATGAAAAAGAGTGATCTTTTTGAAAATCAATAAAAAACTGAAATTGCCGCATTTTTTACCCGGTAGGGCAAAATTTATATATTTTTTTGATCTACACAAAAGTTTCCTTTTTTTCGAGTTATACTTCTCAACAAAAAAATCAGAGAAGTTTCAAAAATTTCAAAATTTTCAGAATTTCAGTATTTCAGAATTTCAGAATCTCAGAATCTCAAAATCTCAGAATCTCAAAATCTCAGAATCTCAGAATCTCAGAATCTCAGAATCTCAGAATCTCAGAACCTCAGAATCTCAGAATCTCAGAAACTCGGAATCTCAGAATTTCAAAATCTCAGAATCTCAGAATCTCAAAATCTCAGAATCTCTAAATCTCAGAATCTCAGAATCTCAGAATCTCAGAATCTCAAAATCTCAGAATCTCAGAACCTCAGAATCTCA